TGGTCGTCTCCGCCCGTACCATCAGTACGAGTCCTCTTGCGAGAACGGAGATAACCGGTGCGCTCAATAGTCCCTAACAGATTCTTGTGATCACGGACCAAACACTGAAGTTGGTCCTTCGTCGAAAGGAGTTGGTCCTTCATCGACGCGGCCTCGCGACGAGCTGTCTCTACCTCGTCGCGCAAACGACGCCTCTCGCGTTCACTCTCAAGCTGAGCGAACGCGAGTTTCGATCGGTCCTTCTCCCGATCGGCACGAAGACGTCGCAAAATCGACTGCAAGGCGTGTCGACGATCATATTCGTGATCGACGTCCTCCCTCAGCTCGGTCAGGTAACGCTCGTGGTTACCCAAAGTCTCGTGCAGGTCCGGCGGCTGAGCCGGACCTTGTCTTTCCACCGCCACCGGAACCACTAGTGGATTCCCACGGTGGTTAACGCTTTCTTGTGGAGCGTATCTTGAACCACCGTGGCGATTCAGAATCAAGAACGAGTTACATCGTCCGGTGGCGTGGGTACCCACCTTCCTTTGACAGCTGGGAACCTCTTTCCCAGCAGATGGATGACGTTGAAGGTCTCGTCCACCAGTATGACGAGACTCATCCAATTGGTCCGAGGGCCCATCGGTAAACACGCGCTTTTGGCGCTTGTAAACGGATTGCAAGTTTGCAATCGCGTCCCGCATCTCAGCCGAGATGTGTGCCCTTCCCCAGGGCGAACTTGGGGAATACACGTCCCTATGTGCACGCTGCGAGTTGTCAACACAACTCGCACAAGGGTATCCCCAAGTGAGGCAAGGAATGTCTGCCTCACTCGACAAACGATGCAACCGGCACCTTGCACCGGTTGGCGTTCGCTTTTTGAACTTAATGCGTATCGCCTCAAGCTTCTTAAGCCACCCTTCTCGTCCAAAATTCTTGACGTTTTGGACGAAGGCGTTCCACGCTGCCAAAAGCGAGTTCTTGTCACGCTTTTGGTTGCCGTTATACCATCGATGCCTAAGGAAGGCATCGAGATAAAAATCTTCTTCAGCGCGGAAGTTTCTCGCGCTGGGACTTAAGCCATGAAGCTCCGATACAACGAATAATGGAATTCGATAAAGCTGGCTTGTCTCGTGAGACAGGCTATCGATGAGCTGGTTGGGCAAGCGCCACGGCTTGAGCTCATCACGCTTCAAAGTGGTACCTGTTTCGGTACCACGGCTTTCAGAATGACGACGGCTCTCGCCATCGTCATCACGCTCTTGCCGGGAAGCGGGAGTTGATAATGGTGAGGCACAGTATTCCTCATCAAAGAGTCCATCATCACTGCCGAACAGACTGTGTTGCATTTCACGACTCCGCTCGTTCGACAGTGCTCTTGACAAACGATGAGGCACCGCCGGTGATCGGGATGCCTCTGGAACGTTGCGCGAGTCAGGCACGTCTGACTCGCCAGAATTGATGACCTCATTGACAAGGTCATCATGTTCACGTGGTGCGATACCGCGTGCGTCTGCAGCACCTTCTGCTGTAGACGGAGAACAAGTAGCAGACGACGAAGCGTCTGCTGCAGAGGCTGGCACAGCAGCAGGCTGTGTGGTCTTCGAATCACCTCGCATAGACACGTTAGCTATGCGAGGCAAGGTCAGGAGTGAATGGGTCAGACCAAACAAGTGCTCCCTGTCCCACTGGTGTCCAACGGGTGGCCACCAAGTTTTCGACAGTCACACGGTGACTATCAGATAAGGGAGGGGTGATGTAACGGGGTAGCCCGTTACATGAAATTGTCATTGAAACAATTTGACAATAAAGAATATTTCGTCGAATATTCTTTTAACAATATCATCGACATGGTGATATTGTTGAGATGGCCGAAGGGTCTACTCATTGGTTGATATCGTGATGATATCAACCCACAAATCGCTGCTAGACGCGCGCAATGGGGGGTGAGTAGACGTCATCATACACATAGTTATATTAGTATAATCAAGTCAGGACAACAGAGATTCAAGGAGTTATAGGACTTAATTATATTAATACAGTTTTACTTTTACCAGAGACTAGTCTGACTACTTAGTCTCCTTTCCTTCCTCTGTGTTCCTTCAACACCTAGCAGGGCACTGTCAACCACTGTCGTCAGTGGAAGTATACTCCGCACTGGTCATCCAGTACGTAGTCAACAGTGCCCCGTTACACCTCTCACACACACCGTCGTCTCGGTGGTGGTGATGGCGGCACAAAACATTGGGAGAAGACACACCAATTCGTCGACAACAGCTCACGATCGCGGAAACGATTGGTTCGCTGCAGCACCCGTCAAGGGTCCTGTTTCGCACCGCTTTTGTCCATCGTTGCACTCAAAGTGTCAATAGAGTAATATAAGTATAAGCACGGGCAGGGTACGCGGCGTTTGCTAACATCAACGGACGTACAAAATAGTGGGTCTGGCAATACATGTACACAATCTGACCCGATACATAAGGCGGCGACAACGTTGGACAATGGGCGGTGGCAGACTCATAGCGGAAAGCACGCATCACGGATGTTCTCTTTAGTGCCCTCTAGGCGGGTCTTGTGTGCACCAGGATGGGAATATACTTCGTACATTCTCGTCCTCCATACTTGCCATCTACTGCCGTCTGAAGGCATGCATCCAGGCGGATGCAACCGATAGCGCTGCAGCATTCGATCAGAATGTTGCCATGTTTTTATCCGCGACGGACGGGCATAGGAAAATCATACACCGACACTGCATGTGTCGATATTGCCGACATGTCCAGCGAATGTAGAAACAACTCGCTAAGAGAATACAGCACTCAGCCCTTTTGTCACACCAATCCGCGTGCGATCGCATGTTTTCGGCACGGCGCATGGGATGACCTTCTAGTGAGCGAGTGATTGGGCACCACTACAATGATGTAGCCCTTAACTGTACTTGCGTCACCTTCTTCGACTGTACAAGTGCGTGAACGCATACGTATGCAACGAGTTTGTAGCAGTCCGACAAAAGCGTTTTGTCACTGATACATTGCTGGGATGCATTATCTGTAACGGGGCACACCCTTGCGTGAACTTAACGCAAGGGTATCGGTGCCCCGACAGACGTACACAAGGCAAGCGAGGAAGCGTAGGTAGGGTAAAAGCAGAACTGTTATATTAATATAATTAAGTCTTTTAACTACTGTCTCTTTGTTTGACTTAACTTAATTATGCTAATCTAACTGAGTGTATGGTGACGTCTCGTCACCACTCATTGCGCGCGTCTTGCGGCGATTGGTGGGTTGATATCATCAAGATATCAACCAATGAACAGACTCTTTGGTCGACCCTTCAATATCACCGCTTCGGTGATATTGTTTAAAGAATATTCAACTTCATATTCTTTATTGTCACTTTTCTTAAAGTGACAATTCCATGTAACGGGCTGCCCCGTTACATTATCACGCATCGCCAACCAACGCTGCTACTCAGTATTTCATCAAAGAGGATCAAAGTCAATCAACTACGTTGGCTGAACCGTATTCCGAACTCAAGCTGGACGCGTGACAGGGTGTGGAGTGTACGATGTGTTGCATGATTGTCGCTGCGACGATTCAGTGGAGTGATCATTACTACGGCGATATTGGTCGTCGGACACCAGTAATCTCATCTCAGCGATTACGGTATAGTACGTAATCGCTTAAGGCAACGAGTGATGATTCTCGTTCAGCTTGTGTCCACATTTATCGCAGTCAATGATGGCCTTTTGTTTTGTTGCAAGAAATGCGATCGATTTGTCGTATATATCCTTGTGTGAAAGCACACAAGTTGGTAAATGTATGCACGTATGCACGCATCACAAGACTGGCTCTTCTCCTTGGTCTTTTTTTGGACCATTTGAGCAAGGCAAAAAGTGGGCTAAGGGGACATTCACAAGGAGTCGCGAGGGAAAGGATAGCGAAACACTGAGTATGTTTGTAATGACCTAAAGCCCTACAAACTTGTCCAGTAGTCACGACAAGCGCGTTTAGTAGATCAATCTATACACCGTCTCGGCATAAACAGGCCCGCGTCGCGTTGTATCATACTTCCTTGCATAGCCTGATATGGCGAGATGACCGCCCATTTGATCATGCGCAGCCGCAGCCATCGTTGTGTTGCCGACCAATGTATCGTTGCTTTTAGTACTCTGGTACAGACTTTGCCGAATCAGATCGACTAAGCAAGCAGCCTGGCGATTGCCGCTGATCAGGCTTGCTATACATCTTGTGAGATCGTTTCGACATTTCGTAAATCATCATGCACGTATCTTGTGCTCGCATCACTTTGATCAATGGCTCACTAGACATCGGCCACAGACTGCTGTGTACGGGCCTTGTACCCAAGTAGAACGTGCGCAGCCATCATCGATTACTTTTTTTGCCAGAATTGCACAGACGCTACAGGAAGGTACATACCACTATGTTTGGTCAAATATTTGCACAGTTGGAAATAGGGAAAAGAAGCCGCTTCTCCAGTGTCTCAAACACAGTCTCCGGCAAAGCTGGTTCAGATTGTACTAAAAGCTCGCCGCATGACCAGGACTAGTCTCGCGGTAGAACATTTGTTCGCTGAACGTGCTGTACATAATCGCTCCTAAACCACTAGCGGCAAATTGAGTCGCCCGAAAATGCAAACTGAAGAGGAGGGGGGGGCAGCTGCACATATGCATTTCTACCAAAACATTAGTTCCTTACTTCCTCTGTGCTCTAGCATCAAATCGCTTCCTCGACGCTGTGCTGTGTCATCTTTCATCCATCACATACGGTCCACAATGAGGATCCTTGAGCGAATGTCTGCTAACTAGTCCTTTTCTAAACAAACAACCAGAACGGTCGATCGTTTTCGATCACTTGCTCTGCGGTGACATCAGATCGAAATCACCGTTTGGACTACGACTCGAGGAACTTCTGTCGCAAGCACAATGACGATGTAGAGTACACCGAAGCGCATTTGCGCTCGATCACTTCTGCATGTTCAAGTGCGTACACTCTCACACAATCCTACTTGCCTGTAATGACAGAATTCGACGAAGCGTAGCCTAGCTTTTCGAGTACCGAGCGAATACCGTCCAGTGCCGCAAAATTGTCGATGGTAGCCGGTACGCGAAACGGAGTCGAGTCAGCAATAGCTTGCATAGTAGCGCGCATGACCTTACCAGACCTTGTTTTTGGAAGCGCGTCGACTAGGCCGACACTTTTCAGGCACACAAAGCTGCCCATCTGCTCACGCACGTCGCTTATTACCTGCTGAATGATCTGCAGTCAAGCAATAAATGCATAGCGAGGATCAGATACGTTAACTGCAACATGTGTCGCTCGAATAGCAGCATTTCGTAGAAGCACGTGCCTCTTCGTTGGATCGATCGGTCCTCTCATCAATTACCAAAAGAGCGAGCGGGACGTGTCCCTTGAGCGTATCGACGACGCCAAACTGCATCCGAAAAGAAAATAATCGAATTACAACAAGCACGACTTGTTGCATTCAACTATCACTCGCACGCACCACGGCACACTCGACAACTTCCGGGATCTCGATGATGACTTTCTCAATCGATCCCGTAGTGATACGGTGTCCTGCAACGTTTATGACGTCATCCGTTCGTGACATGACCTGGCAATAAGTTAGCACCCACGATTCGTTTACAGTGAGTACAGAATGCAACGGGCGCAGAGTAGCTCATGCAGTTCACTTACGTAGACAAAACCTTCTTCATCAATGCGCCCAGTATCTCCAGTGTGGTAGTAGCCGGGGAATCGCTTGAAATACTTGGCGTCGAAATCGTCTGGGTTGTTGTGCAAGGCAATCAAAGCACCTGAGCAGAAGAGAGAACATTCACGTAAGAGGCACTCACAGCCTCGTTCACACTTGTAAGGTCTTGCCTGGAGGAAGAGGCAGTTTAACCACAAGCTCAGCATCTTGTTCCGCATTTTTGTCGCTGTAGTCGCGATGCTCGTCGTCATTTATTTCACTGGCGACTGTTAGTAGCCGGACATCCCACCCTGGCACTGGCCTACCAACCGAACCCTCTTTGATGCGTGGGTACCCTTCTTCACTTTTGTCATCATTTTGCATCCCAAGACACGGCGCAGTGATGGGCCATCCCGTTTCCGTTTGCCACCTGGACATTACCCGTACAAGCGTGAAGATCGTACACAGGACATGTCACAAGATGACAACATACCAGTGGTCAATGAGAGGCACGCCAAGTTGCTGTGAGAAAAAGCTGAAGGTCTTGGGGTCACCGCGCTCCCCTGCCACGAAGATCGTTCTGCACACAGCAATCGACGACGTGTTGGTCCTCAATTGAATGACGTCCACCATCGAAGTGCGCCACTTACTTCAACGTCTTTCGGATGTCCTCTCTCAGGTGCTTGATCAGCAACCCTTCTGGATCTTCTCTACGAATCGCCCGCAATGCAGTAGGTGCCGTGAACATCGACTTGATGCCGTATTCCGTGATCAAACGCCAATATGCACTCGCGTCAGGCGTTCTAACTGGCTTGCCTGCGTACAGAATCGACTGCAAAAAACAGATCACGAGTCAATAACGTGCAAGCACTGGTCAAGCCGATACACAGGATGATCCTACCGTGCATCCATGTACAAGAGGACCATAGACACCGAGCGAGTGACCAACCGTCCAGCCCATATCCGAAGCGGCAAAGAACGTATCGTCCGGTGCGATATCGAAAACATTGCGCATGGCCCATTTGAGGGCAACCGCGTGGCCGCCATTATCACGAACCACACCCTTTGGACGGCCGGTTGTGCCTGACGTGTACAACAAATAGAGCGGGTCCGTCGCAAGCACCGGTCTCGCATCGATGGGACCTCCCATCGCCATGACATCCCTCCAGTCAATATCACGTCCCTTTGCCGTCTCGAACGGACACAGATCGCGCTGTAGCATGACAACGTGACTCGGCTTCCACTTTGATCGCTTCAGCGCTCCATTCAGCAGCGGTCCGTAGTCGACAATCCCCTTGGGCTCGACACCACAACTCGCCGAGATGATCAGCTTAGGGCTTGCGTCTTCGATCCGCGCAGCAAGCTCCAAGGTAGCAAACCCGCCAAACACGACCGAGTGAACAGCTCCAAGCCGCGCGCACGCGAGCATTGCCACTGTCGTCTCGAGAACTGCCGGCATGTAGATGACGACACGGTCACCTTTCTCGACGCCAAGCTTTTGCAGTCCACCAGCAAACGTGGACACTACAAGTAACGAACAAACACAGTACGTCAGATCGGCCCGAGTCAACATCGTGTGTATCGACGATACATGCAGATCTATCGATCGATCGAATGCTTTGGACACAGGGAAAACGATGACCTTCTTGTAGGAGCTGACTGAACGTCCTTGTCGTCTTGGTATCGGTCAGTGGACAGTCGTAGTGCAATGCGACGACGTCGCCCCGCCCATTGTTTACGTGCACATCAAGTGCATTGTAGCACGTGTTCATCTCTCCCCCCACAAACCATCGCGCGGACGGGCCACGTGTGCTGTACACAAGTGACGAGTGTAAGTCCTTTAGATTCGATCGTCGTGGAGGGCGTCGTGTTTAGATACTATATCGTAAGAGAGGTCAAGTCGGACACGTGCTACGTACGACTCGAGCACTTGCGTCCACGGCTTGAACCACGTTAGCTCTTGAGCGGCTTCGGCCCAAAACGCTTCGGGCGTGTCGAGGCTGCGTCGGTACTGCTCTGTATAGCTAGCGATCGTTCGTCGCTCAAGTCGAGCGACGTGGGTGCGAGCCACTTGCCGGAACATTGGCGGGGACTGACAACGATAGAAATTGATTGTGACGACGAAAAGGCGCTGCTGGTGGGTCAAGAGATACTTTAGTGGAGTGACGACAGCGTACTTCAACATGTGCAATGGAGACTGTATACAAGAAACAAAGGACAGTGTGGTACCAACTGAACAGGTCGTCAGTTTAGACTGCGAGAATCGATGAGATATTACTTGTTCATGTGGCGTGTGCGTGTCGATGGACATCTGCTGTTTAGAGGGTGTGCACGTCTGGGCTTAGTATTCGGGACGCAGGTCTTTCATTATGCGCTCGCGGTCGATGACGGAGTGTATTGCACCACAACGCTTCTCGCTCCTTTCGAGGCCAAATCAGCTCTCGACGGGGGCGAGATTTGAGCCCATCGCTGACAATGAACTTACTGCTAACATACGACGAGGGCGTCTATATAGCTTGCACTCGATTCGGACGAGTACGCGTGTCACGTTACGAAGGATGTGTCCAGCAAGTGCTGATATTCTACCACGGTTATCTACGATATCTTGCTCTGAAGTTGTCACAGATGGCGATAGCGTGCTCAAGCCAGGCGGAGAAGTCGCCACGCGACTTCCACGATAAGATGAGGCGTAGAAGTAATGATCACAAACTACGTGCAGGTTGGGCGGGGGATGGATGCGAAGGATCGAACGTAGCGTCAGCTTTGGGCTTGCGTAGGCAGCAGTCTGGATTCGGATCAGCTGGATGTCAACAGGATCAAACCTTGTTCGAAGGTTTAGCAAAAGTCAGGTGTTCGGCACCTCACGTAAACCTACTGACCATATTTGTAACGTAAGGAGCCTCTAGTCTGACCTTGGCACAAATTGTGCCAGTGCAAATATTATAATGATTGCTAGCATTTTATATAGGAAGCCGCTATATTCACCACTCACTTTTCGCTAAGCACCACTCACCCTCCATTTAAAAAATTGCATACTCTGTCTCGCGCTGAAATTGGTCTAATGCAAATCAGTACAAAGAAATTCAACAAATCGCAAGAATATCACGCGAAATTGTAAAAATATGACAGTAGACATGTATTCAAACGCTTTTTAGTTCTTACTATATTATGGTCGACTCTCCGCAAGCGCCACCATATCCTAGTACTACCCATTTATATATGGTGCGTTAGAGAAGTGCTCCCATTCATCCTCAGCACCAGGATTACATAAAAGTTGCCAATGGAGTCACTGCCGGACCCGAAAAAGGTTGACGGCATATTTTTCTGTTGTTTCCTTTTTCTCCGCAATTACCGCATCGACGTACAGGCCGCAAAGATTTCTCCAATCTTTCAAACTGCAATGGATCCTGCTAAGCCGAACTCCGCGATTGGTAATCCAATGGACGATACACAAGAGCGATAACAGGGTTCTTGCGGTCATGCTGTATAGATGGATTAAGGACCTCCGCTGCCGGTGGCACATCTAGATGGTCAAGGAAAACTCGCTGCCTGTACGAGATTCCGTCTTCAAATACTTCTTGAATGCGCCTCATTATTTACCCGATTGATGGTGCTACAAACATAATCGCTTGTCGAGGGGCTGCAAAAACCATGATTGTGTAGCAAAAGATCCATGCTGATGTAAGTGGTTTTTCAAATGTCAAACTCTGTGCAACAAAAAGGAGGGTTCGTTCTAACGCGAGCGAGAACAGTATTAGCGTTCATTTTTACTTCGATAAGTCTCCAATTACAATATTTAAATCGGAGGGTGAGTGGTGCGTAAAAGTGGTCACCTTTTTAATATTTTTATAAGTCAATTTAGACTATTATACCAAACGACTAAACCACCAGTTGCTGCAAGAAGCGTGTAGCTGACAATTTAGTAGGTAGAAATAATGGTCTATATTCATTAATTTGAGGTGCGGTAATGGATATAATCTTTGACAATTCCTTCAAAATTTCCGTTACAAGGTACATATTGGCGAATATTATTAATTGTAATCTATTTTAGCTGAACCAATCTGGTGTTAATTACATGTAACAGGCTCACTCCATTTTTAGGCGAGCTTTTGACTTGCTTCGTTAGCATCAGCATGCCTCTTCAATCATTGCTAGCTCATCGCTGACATCTCGAGTTTTATACCTCATCCGACGCACAGGATATTGCTCAGCTTTTCTGGAAAAGAGCACTGAACTCGTCAAACAATGTATGGATAGAATGTTGTAGCACGAGCCGTAAGAATCTCTCAATTTTCGCATGGATTTTGGTGCTCAAGTGAGCAAGAAAGCTTTACGGTATGACGCAAGCGTACTTTGGTGTTGCAACTGTAAGTCGACAACGTAAAGAAGCCAATCTGCAGATCAGTCAGGGCCGTTGGATCCTATCCACCAAGAGGTGTACATGCCGGGAGTCACGGTGTCAACGAATCATGCGTTTGCTAGACTTTGTTTTGCATGTATAGGTCAGCCCCGCAATGAGCAGAGTCGTTCTCATGCGTACATGTCGGCTGTGACGTACGCATGCATTTTTTGTCGTGACATTCGCGGCCATTTCTGTCATCTTGTTGTGTAGATGGACGCCGCAAGCGTTGACGTCCTGTGCGGGTTCCGGATCAGCACATTGCTGACTGTAGATGCTGATGGATGTGGCAAGCTAAAGCCTTTCTTATCAGTGTATAAATGTAAGTGCGCTGCCCTATTTTAAGGTCAGGCCAAGGACTCGAAACTTCCCACCGAACGACGGGAAGACCTAGATAGCGGTCAACTTCTCCTAGGGAACAGCGTGCAAATGTGGAAGTATGCAAGTTTGAGCTTTCTTGAGCGTTTTTGTGACATGTGTGTTGTCCCAGCATTTGCTCTAAATACGCACAGGACATTCGGTACAACAATGTTTTTTTCGCACAGATATTCCTCAGGTCTGGATGACCTGAAGCAACGCAAGACTGCTACGAAATGTAGACAGCTTTCAGATACACGACAACTGCTAAGCTCATGTCGGCCGATTTATCCGAATCATCGTTGGCATAGTGCAAGCTTATTCAAATTCGGGCTGTGCGGTGCGAGTTCCTCGATACCGTTTTTACAGCTATGACCGTGACAAGCAAGGCCGTAGTTGTACATTCAAAGTCAGTATGTTACAATCATGCAATACCTGGTTGCTTATCGGTGATCGCGCTGGAACAGTGTAGTAAATGTAGCGTCCATACAGTGCTCTTGTTATTTTTTTGCGATACATGGACATGAGCCACTGTCTTGTGAACAGCGCCACGAGTCAAACGGAGCGCAATCAAGATGCAGTTGTATCCTCGAGCTTTTGGTAAAGCATCCCCGTAAAACGGCGAGATTACGCAGCTACTGCTGATTTCTGAAGTCGTGTTTAGACATTGATTGTGAGCTGACGAGCTGTACAACCGGAGCAGGAAAGCGATGTGATAGAAACTAGCTATGCCATATGACAGTGTTTGGTGTATTGAGATACAACCCAGAAGCAATTAGCAAAGATCCTGCTAGAGCCAACACTGACTAGCATTGTGTGCTGACCTATAAACCTAGATTGCGTCAGACAGCTTGACCTTGCTTGAGTCAGACACTTTGACGTCGACGGAGCCAGACAGTTTGACGTTGATGGAATCAAACAGTTTGACGAAAATGTTGCAAGCTTGCAAAAAGGTGATGTATGTAGACTGCAGACGAACAACGAAACGTCCATCTCAACTCACGTGCCATTGTACAGTCTAGATGAAGCAAGGAGACGCGGAATGCACGAAAAACAAAATCTCCTCATCAGCGTTTCACGCCCGCCAATGTCGTGCCAATAATTGTCAATTCTGCTTGCTCGCTACTTGTTTTCCAACCCTTCTTGCACGATCGCCACCTGCTCTTGTCCGCTCCTTGCGCTGCCGTCCCGCATCTGTCGATACCTCCCGTCACCTCCTCACCTGCTCTCTTTTCACTCCACTCAGGACTCACTCCTATCGCCTGCGACTAATTTCCACTTCCACGCGGTCCCACTCGATCACTACTACATTGAACCTGCCATCGCGGTCCCATTAGCGACGTCAGCCGTCATTGGCGTATACGACGCATTCGATCCCGGGGGAATAGTCTAGGCGGCAAGCAATCGCAAGAGCACAAGCGGCACATTACCAATCAGCAACCAACCGACCATAGCTTCAGTAGAGAGTGGTGCTTTAGACCGGCAGCAACGCTTACCTGATACGCACGCTGGGAGGCGTAGCGACGATTCATGGCTTCAATGTCGTCAGGTCGGGTGAAATCGAGCGGCTGGTCTTGCGATAGTCGCTGCTGGCTACCATAGCCACTACGATGTCCCTGGTGACCGCCCATTGCGATCTGCGGCTGCTGCTGCTGCTGCTGTTGATGTTGTTGTTGATAGTCTAGTTGAGGCTGTGTGCTCTGCAACCCGTACTGTCCATATGCACCGTAGCCATAGCCAGCAACACTTTGCTGGTACTGCGGATACGTATATGCAGCATTGTAGCCGTAATAATTCTACCCATGCATCAGCAACACCGTCATTCAGCAACAAGCACTACCAACATAGACAACGTCCTTGAATCACACACAAAAAGCACCCACCTGGTATCCCGTTTGGTACTGACCATATTGCTGGGCGTAGTAGTTGGTGTGGGTAGTAGTAGCGCGTGCAGCTGCCGATCGACCCCAAGCACATCGCACCTTGACGTTGCTAATGACTGCGCCATTCATCTGCGAAATCGCCATCTCTGCCGCCTCTTTGGTCGTGTACTGCACAAACCCGCATCCACGTCCAGGCGGCACTTTCACCGACACAATTTCCCCCAAGACACCAAACCGCGCACGTAGCTCATCTTCCGTTGCTGACGGGTCCAAGCCACCGACAAACACTGTGGTATTGGCACCTTCGTCCGACTCCCCCGCGCTAAAGGCAATCTGCTGTCGCGCTTTGCTTCTCTCCGTAGCCACACTGACTCGCATCGGACGTGACGAGCAAAAGACGCCATTCATGGTCTGCAGAGCCTGATCTGCTTCTTCTTTGCTGCCAAAGCGCACAAATCCAAATCCCTTGGACATGCGCGTCACAGGGTCAATGACCACTTTGGCACCCCGCACACTTGTAAATCGAGCGTTGAACGTGCTCAGCAGCACTTCGTCACTGACGTCCGGAGCCAAGTCACCGACAAAGATCGAGTGGTCGTCGGACGTTTCAATGCGACGGCCACCTGCGCCCCAGTTCATGCGGAACCGATGCACTGTGTTGGCTACAGACAGTACCACAGCACGAACAGGTGAGCAACGAGACAGGATGCAACATGTTGGGCAAACACAAATTGACAACACGCATCACGCAATGCTTCCTCGTCAACAACTATCAGTCCGTACGAATGAGCTGTCCGTTGAACATTTCCAGCACTTGCTGCGCTCCCCGTTGGGTCGGAAACTCCAGGAACCCATAACCTGCAGGGTATCCCGTCGCCTTGTCACGAATGAGCTTGATTACCGGCTGTTCTGCTGCATATCGAAAATGGAACAATTGCACCAAGCACGAGCACAAAAATAAAGGTAGAAGCAATTAAGAGAGAGAGAGAGAGATAAAAATAAGCGAAGATTAGCAAACAAGTAGACACATATAGATATAGATATATGTATATATAGCAATACAGAAGTGCAAAACGCGACTTGTTGCAGCAACGACATCGTCCTGTCGTTGTTGTCACGTTGTGACAACAAGTGCGATGTATGGTCATGACGTACCGGCCGCAGCGAAGAGTGAGGCAATGAACGCTTCGTCCCAATGCATTTGGATGTCGCCCATCCACAATGTCTTGCATTCCGTCTCCATTGCTGCAGCAGCGGTAATGAGAAGAGGACGAGATGGAGGAGGAGGACGAGATGGAGGAGGAGGAGGAGGTGGGCGGAGAGAGCAGTGCTGCAGGTGGCGGGTCGTACTTGGTCGGGTGGCCGTTTAATTATCGCGTCCCCCTCGCTCTATCGCTCACGCTCTATCGCTCTCTCTCTCTCTCTATCCCTTTCTCTCCCTTTCAACGTCGTGACCAAGACTTGCGTCACAAACGGGACGCACGGGATGTACACTTTGTACCACGGAACACAAAAATGGACCTTAGGGATAGGGGAAGTCTTACATGCCGCCAGATGGCTGCGCACTTTTGGCAGGTGCGGTACAGAGTGTCGCCCTTTCTAAATGTCGCACGTCCCGTTCTGGCAGGTGTCGACTGTCCGTCCGCCGGTCGGTCGGTCGGTCGGTCTGCCGTTGCGACGTCACCGACGGTTCGATTTCGTTTGCATACGTTTGTTGTGTCTGCACACGTCGCATGCCGTCGCGCCTTTTGGGCTCAGTCTTCGATCAACTAGAGCGAATCCATGCGACAATATGTTAAGACTATCGTACCCTCGTCGAGCTTGTAATGCATGAGGCTATCCATCTACTGCCACCGCCACTACAAGATTTGCTGCTGCTCGCTTCCTGTCGATTGTTGGCTTTCGTCATCTGTTTCGTGCTATTGCAGACCTCCAATCGCGCAATCCCTTGTCTTTCCATTGCAGTCTACGATGAAAATCTGCGTCTGCACAAAGTTTGTCGACTATGAACTGGATGCACTTCTTTCGCCGCGTCGTCCTGACTTCGGCGATCCATCTGGACTCTTTCATGCTGGCACGATCAGGCATCTAGTCTGACAAGCGCCACTTGCCTTTGACCCACTCATGCTTGAGAGTAGCTAGCTGACGTGCTTCTTTGACGTATGCCGAGCGCTGCGAGCGACAGCATGGGACTGCAGTGGTGACGAGCTTGCCCCATGACTGTGTGTTTTAGGCTTCGGCGTTGCGTATATAGGCGTTTGACAGGTTCGAGCACAAGAGCGCTGCTGATGATAACGGATATAAGTTATCTGTACTAGTGGTGTTGTTGTGATACAACGAATTCTGTAAAGTTGACAACATGTTCAGTCATTTAGCAGTCTTAACGAGTTGATGCTAGTTGTAATGACATAAATACACAGCTTCTTGTGCGTGCTTCTGCACGGCAGGACACACTCAATGTCAAGTTACATATAGCTACAGTGTGTCACAAAATCAATGCGAGGTCGTCTACGGTAGGATGGACTCGTTTGTCTTGATCACTCTCCCATTGACATGGCGTTTTACAAGTCCACTATTCGGTTACCACCAGTGTTGTACGCATATCGTGGTCGGTGCATTGTGTCTTGCCACTCGCTGATATGTCCTTGTCTGACCAAATGCAGCATACCTATGTCATGCAGCGGGCATTTGATTTCCACCACGAAAGAGGAAAAGCTGTACACATCTTACAAAGGGTGTCAATTGAGTCTGGCAATCGTCGTCTTGAAGCGCATGCACTCAGTCGATGCTTCAACCTGGCGATCCATGCTCTGACATCGATAAAAGGCTGGCTTTTGACCATCACAAAAACGGCTACACGATCATTGTGTATCCAAGGCTTAAACTCAATATGTCTTGCACCTCCGATCGCTTGCAGATAAGTACACATTTAGGACTGTTTGGTTGTCAGTCTGATCGCAGCTCTCGTTTCTCGACAAGACGCCTAGGTGAGAACTCATCCACACACGTACTCTTTACACTGAAAGCAAGGTGCCGACGCGGAGCATCATCATCCAGGACGCGTTGACCCACGCCAAAATTCTAGCATCTCTATCATAGTCGAACCTATTCTTGCTGAAAGACGACCGTCACACCAACGCGTCGCTACATGTCGCCCCGAGTCCAGTACAGCTACTCCCTTGATCAAACTCACACACATTTCTATCCACAAGTTCTCTTCAACCAGTCAATCCGATGCACACAACACCTCCATCAACAACATCTCGACCGGACTGTCATGCCAACTGCATTCACGCTTGCCTACCCTTGTAAAACGAAGCACCTGCGTACATCCACTTTGTTTCTTCTCACATCTTTACGCTCTTCCGTATGGCTTCGACTGGCGTTTTGCTTTCGCTCGTCTCTGTCCGAGCCAAAACTTGACGTGGTCTCCATTGCTCTCGAGCAACGCGAACAGCACATAGAGACACGACACCACATGGCCAAAACACAAAAGTGCTCCAGCCGTCCACACACCATAGCGAGCACTTCCCCACCAATGCGTCGTTCTGTTCATAGCAGAAGCACCAGCAGCAGTACTAGTAGAAGCGCTAGTAGTAGCAAAACTTTGTTCTCTCGAGAGTATCCAAGCTCCAACAAGCACCAGACCGACACATTGGTTCAGTATGGATGCGTCAAGCGATACGGCAAACGGTTCTTGGTGCAATACCAATGATACAGCCACAGGAAGCAGTGCAAAAAGACCGTCCGACGATGGGGTCAAAAGAGCTGCGACGTCGACGAGTAGCAGTACAACTGCTGCTCCACACGCCGCCAACCACGCACAACGGATAGAGGTGGATGCTGTAGAGGCCGCGGCAGCATCTGGGACATCGAAAACGGAGCGAGAAGACGCAGCAGCGCCCGCACGAGCGCTATAGAGCTCGTCGTCGCTGTCGCTGTCGCTTACGGCACGGATGATCATCGATCGGGGTTGGGTTGCGACGTATCGATGACGGGATTGGATATAATTGGGGAAATGGACACCACGTGCAGTGGATGAGGAGAATATACGGATAAAACTCGACGAAAGTTAGGGGATTCCTATGCTCAGCGATGATTTCATACGGACCGACATGGCCTTTTTCATAGACACTATCTTGTGCGGATCGATACGATGTTTGTTTGCTTGAAGCAGTTGAACTGGGTGGGACCGGCGCCGTGCAAACTGAAGCTGTATATGATAGACACAGCCGGTGGACTATATACACATACATAAGGGCGAGCAGGTTATGGTCAATGTGAAGCAGCTTTGCAGAGAGAAGGATGGTATCGAGTCGTTACTTGTCCAGCCAAATGTGGATTCCGTCAGGCGGCTACAATCTCATCGTACGCCTTTCTTTCGCTTGGCATACGGTCTTCATGGCCGTTACTGATGACTGCAACTTTTTAGGTGGCGTTGTAGGCACCTAAAGCAGTGACGTGTGACGATCGATTGATCGCGTATCAAGACGTGATCGCGTACACATGGATATCCCAACATCGTCAATTGTGTTCAAGCATACGTGACGATGAAGTGAAATGCAGTCAGACTGGCAACGGCATCTCAAGAGTCTTTGATGCTATCGCACTACTTCTACAAGTGTCAGTTTGTACACTCGATGACAAAGCTGTTTGGGCTCACGCATGAAAGAGCGTCGTCGTGAAGTATACGAGATACGCAGCAACGGCCGTGTGTGTAGATTTTCCGTCGGATTTTGTTTACTTACCAATGGACGTCAGCGCCTGCGAACAAATTGCCGAGTCCCACTGAAACGGACAACACATATGAACTGCATGTAATCAGCTGAGCTCGATGACAAAATAACGCATGCTGCTCTGGCCCCAAACTACAGAAACGATACTATCGTTAGAAAGTAACAGGCTGTATGCAGAAGGCATCGGAGCGCTTCATGCACGCTGCAGAGATAGCTGTCGCTTCATGGCTGATGATGGAAATGATTACCTGACATATACCACCAAACTTCTACCAGATCGGCGAAATGGCACCTGGGTTGAGTAGATACCATGCAAGACCGAGGCCTCTTTCTCGCCTTGCACGTGTAACTCGTTCTTACAAGGTGTAAGTCTTGAACGCATCCAGATATGTCAAGTCGCACAGTTCGCTCTTGGAGCGATTTGATCCGTATGCTGCTCGTGCAGCTGCAACAGGTTTCGCCATGCTCGTTCCTTCTCTCCTGCTGCGCGACCCATACTTGGCAGCACCTGACGGACCTTCGTTTCTGTGCGTCGGTTCTTGCACCGTCAGCTTGGACAAATGAAAGTCAGTGAGCTTGACCTTGTTCCCGTGCCTTAGTCGATCGTGTTCTCGACTGCCACTTTCGCCGACCCCATTGTCTTGATTCCCATGCCGCGAGACTTTCGAGTTCTTGATCGACGCATCGGTCATCGTGTATCGACGATCGCCTATTCGACGATTCCCGGTGAAGCGAGTGCAATCAATCGGTGGAGCATCATACTTTTTGCTCGTGTAACAATTGTTTCTATCTGCACTCGCGATGCCTTCCAACGTTTGTGGTAGATGCACCTGTTTCTTGACAGTCTTCGCCGCAAAATCGTTCCGCGGTTGGACCAATGCAAGCCCGGCATCAACAACACCGATGTGCTTGGACGCGAATGGAGGAACAGCAGTGTTGCTGGAGCAGTCCACCGAAGCGCGTCGACCTCGTCTCGCTGGCGCAAGTGGTGCATCATTCGTATACTTGGCTCGTCCTGAATCGCCTGTCGAATGCTTTGTCGCTTTTGATCTACTCGGCATAGTCATGACAGGCTCGGTGCCCCTAAAGTCACACGACATCGACTTACCGTCCGTGCCCATTGCCTTCTCGACACTGTTTCGCATAACCATTTGCGCAGTCGATCGCGTGAAATCACACAAGTCGGACGATTGCGCTTCGAGTTGTTGCAGTCTTTTCATAGTACGCAGTGCACTCACGTGAGCCTGTGTTCGAGCAGATTGCAGCTGCAGAGCACTATCATCGAGCTGCCGTTGAGCCCTCGTCGGCTTCGACAGTGGTTTCGTAGCATCGTTCGATCGCGGTTGCAAGCCGATTGCCAATGTGTGGCGACGGTGGCGAATCTCCAAAGCAGCGTCAACTTGCCCTGGCGTTTGTCGTGTCCTGCTTGACGCCCTGCCAACATCAGCTGCCGAGTACTGGTCCACGTGGTGGTCTTCCGCCGGCACGCACAGCTTCGAGGTGCACTCCCATCGAAACAGACGACGACGAGGAGGAGGAAGGTGCTGCGGTCGACGCGAGTGTGGTCCCGCTTTCAGTACGTCTGCTTCAGGATGCAACCGAACACACGACGAGCACGCATGTTGATGGCGGAGCTTGGTCTCGAGCTCACCTGGCCGCATAAACGTGCGCTGCAGTGCGATCTGGAAGCACTCGTCACAGACATGCTACGCAACCCAAAGAAAACGATACACAACACGCGAACGCGAGGGAGCTACAGGTCAGTTCGGGAACGGACGCAAGGGGGCCCAAAAACGCGCAAAGGCCCAACCAAGTTGCGCGCCCACGCACCTCTCTGCAGTAGCAACAGATCTCTTGCGTCGCCGACTTTCGAGGCGACCGCATGCTCGCTTTGCAGTTGACCATTGGGCGTGCAGTAGGTCCGGTCGCGTGGCAACAGAGGGGGGGCACCTGTCCGCCGTCCGCTATGGTCGAGCGACGCGCTACGATTCTGCCCACGGGCAGGAGAGCGTTCGTTGGGCGAGACGAAGAGGGGGAGGCAGCGACTGGGCGGCCGACCACAGCCGGTCGGCTCGTGATTTTTCGAGGCTGTCGACGACCGCCGACACGGTACAGTCCGAGCAGCCGCCAGGAGGCAGCAGTGCGACCAGAGAGTGAGCGCCGGAGGCCATCGGATTCTTTCCCACGGAGCGGCTGAAAGTCCCGTTGGATCAGTGACAGCGCCACGAGAGAGTCGGACGGTCCGCGCGTCGCGCGTGATCGCCGACGGACGCACGGGGTAAGCGCAGGGCAGAAGAACGTTCTTCGATAGCAGCTGGGACGATTACTGCTGCTGCTGGTGCTGCTATTGGTCGACCGGAGCGGACAGATGCTGTTTCGATCGACCGATTGGCTGATCGACCGATCGCCATCGTACAAATACCGGGTGTGTCAGTGGTGCGCGTGCGACGATCGCGCCAGGCGATAAAGCTGACAACTGTACGACTGACTGCACACAAAACGGGCTCTATTGGTCGTACTTTCGAGGATCGGCTAGGCAGAAACACGCTGCGTGCCGGTAGCAGGACAACGTGACTAATGCGTAGGAGCACAGGAGACACTGCGCCTTAGCAAGACACAACGCGTTGTGTATCAGGTCGTCCGGTGTGCGCATTTACTGTTGTATGTTCCTTGAGCTCATGTTGACAAAAGTCGGGGACGACAAACTCAGTAGACAATGTACGAGGCCGTATTCGACTACATCCTGTCGTACTGAAGATACGTCGGTCGACCGTACCGTCTAATGACTGGAGCTAGGGCATGTTCGTCGGCGGCGTCCTGGCGGATGGCAAGCTGCAAAGCGCCGTTGTTGAATGCTCTTGACTCGCAGCTCGACCTACTCAGCTGCTGATGATACATTCGTGACGAAGTCACGTGCTCTACTGCACCGCTTCTTGTGGCCATTGGGGCACGATCCTGTCTGTTTGTGGAGCACTTGACTCCCGGCCCTCTGTCAATTATGGTGTAAAGAATGTTCTGCTCCTGTGGGGCAAGCACGACTCCTCCACAGATGTTGCTTTCGCTGCTGCAATAACTCGGACTGCTTTTTCAATCTTACAACCTGCAGCGGTAGCTGTACGCTCGTGGGTGTGATTTGTACATGTCGACTCTTTCTACCAGCAGCATTCGTCTCTTTTCCCCTGATGTACCATGGGAACCTCGAACTCGGTTGCCTGCACAGTGAACACCAAGCCCTTCGACTTATACTTTCGACCATAGCTGCGGCCAAGCCATTTGGTAAATCATTCTCAGCTCCTGGCAATACTCCGTAGCGTCTTGACACAAGCCATTCTGCATTGGAGGCTTTCTGTTCAGCTGTCTCCACATCCGTGCGAGTCTCGTAGGTACCAGCAGTAGCAAGTGCAGCGATAGAGGTTGTGATGAAGGGTGTGGTGGTCAAAGGAAGAGGTTGGAAACAGGCGGCATGGTTTTGTAATGCAGGGGGTTGAGTGTCATGATCCCAGAGGGCATTGGAAAGCAGTAGAAATGCTGTAGTCAAGTGCTTCATTTTTCTGGATCAGCTGGTTAGCGGTGCGCATGTTTCGGAAGCGGCAGGATTGGTATGGCATCGTGAATCGTGGCTGCGGAATGTCGAGGCTTTACCGCTACAGCAAGTAGGAGATCTTACTCGGCATTGCACGATCGGCAATCTGACCACTAGCTTACCCGTCCACCAGCTGCTACAGTTGAACAGACCCCAGCTGTAACTCATCGTGCTTCGGCTTGACCATTTGTTGTTAGAAGAGGAGGAACACAGACGATCCGACGATGCATTCGTCATGGACGTCGAGGCGACGTTTTGCTCAAAAAGTATAAAACAATTGCAGATATGTCAACCACTTGGGCTTCTCCAGACGGCAGCAGCCGCTAAGCTGTGTACACTATCGCAGCTGTCCTGTATTTGACACCGCGGCTGCCATCCTCGACAAAAGTCCTGCCTGCCTGCTGCTGGCAGTCTCCATTATGCCGTGCAACCGACTGCCGCCGTACCGCCCGTCGTATTGCAATACATGAATACCACCCGACAACCCACACCAAAAGCCCCAGCAATTCCATCTCGTCTCGGCGACATTGTCACGACGACACCAATCGTCTGCCGTCAACCAGTCGTTTCCTGCCACTCCACTCGACGCACTACTCGCTGGCTCGGTCCATTTTCTTTGCGGCTCTTATCGCGCGTCTTTGTATGCGCGCAGGTATCCGAGATCAATGACAAAAGTCGTCGACGCCCGTGTGATCGTGTCGCTCGTGACGTTGCGACGAGCGACCGAAGGCGTCCGTTCCGATCGGATCCGACGTGGCGGAGCGGACGCAGGTCGAGCAGCTTTGCCATTCACTTGTACCGTGTTATAGTGCAGTCGCATGCGCAACAGCATATGGGCATACGACGCACTGCGTCGTCGGTGACGTTCTTCTTCGTTTTCGCACGGCTTGGAAAGGTCCACTGTTTGGGGCCCGTGCAGGCCCGCGCGGTCTTCGTCCAGAGGGTCTGGGGCTGCAGCGTACCTCTTGGGCGACGACGAGCTCATTTCAAAGTAATTGGGCGGCAAATTGATCGACTGGGACATGCCGAGGATCTCGGCGGTCGAGCTGAGCCGCTTCTTCTTCTTCTCCGACTCGCGCGGGGGGTCAGTCGACTGCCCGCTGCTGGGCTTTCGCGGCCGACACGTCGCTCCTTCCATCGTCGCGCGTCGCTGGGCGACCGCACTTGGAGCTCTCACTGGCACGGGACTCGAAGGCCACGTCTGCGCTATGGACTTCCTGCTGGTAGCACTGTTTCGACGACCGCCACTGTCTTCGAGCTGGCAGTCGGACGTATGCGTCGCCCGTCGTCTTCCACTATCGTTCGTCGGTTCTTCATGTGAGTGCTGTTGACTGTGCAGACGCTCTCGTCGTAGCGCTGGATGGTGCGTCTCGTGCTTGTCGAGCTGCACCTGAGCCCTCTCGCGCACGCAATGATGTCGAGAATGCTGTGGGTGGTGATGACTCGGCTCTCGAGGCTCTGCTTTCACTGCCTGTTGCAATCTCGAGGTCATTGCGCCGTCGCGCTGGAGCGACGGGGGTAACCGATCGTCGTGCCTCGTGTCTTCAGGTTTCCACGACTTGTCACTCGCAGGTACTTGTGGCTGCTGGCGGTCCTTCTTTACGTTCACTTTTCGCTTCTCGGCACAAGCGGCGCACATGAACTTGGCGCACGGGCCTTTGCTGGTCAAGAACCGCCACTTCAGTGGCTTAACGTCGGCACCAGTTCCTCGGTCCATCTCGGGCGGAGCTGCAAACGCGACGCGAATCCGCGCAGACGCATTGCTGACATTCTAAACAGCACACACACACACACAGAGAGAGAGAGAGATAAAGAGAGAGCAAAGCAGAGCAGAGCAGACGTTCGTTAGAATGCAGTAACGAATACCCACGAGAGACAACGAAACAACAGACCGTACGACTCAGAGAGACGTATGGACTGAGGAGAGCCACAACGTACAGCGCCGCAGAACGCACACCGCGTCGACGAGGAGTTGCCGGTCGTAGTGGACATCCTCGTTGCCCACTTGCCACAAGACCAAAATGACACGTAGCGCGTCCGACGTGACGTCCAAATATCTTCGACAAGTACCTGACCCCCGACGCCGCGCGACGACAACAACAACAACAACAACAACAACAACAACTCCTACTGCTGCACAGTGTGTTGGCAAGTGCCGGTTCCGCCCGAAACGCAGCGGCGTCGGTCGTCAAGCGCCTATCCGTGAAACGGCTGCCCAGAAAAGCCCACACAAGGGCGTGGAACGGGCACTTCGACTGCCAACGGGTACCTCGTCGTCACGCGGTCGGTCGGTCGGTCGGTCGCTGCCCCCTCTGTCGGTTGCCGCCGGGAGATCCGCCCGCCGATGTGCACGAAAGCGCCTCTTTGTCTGTCTCTTCCACGCGAGCAAAGACGCGGGCGAGTGTGGTCGCAAACATGTCGCGGCGGCCGCTTTTCTCCACTGCGCAAGCGATGGCGCAGGCACTGCGAGCGAGCGACACGTCTGCGCGAAATGTACGCGGGTTGACGTATACGTACTGTACGGTGCCATCACACACAGGAGTAGCGCCCGTCTGTGCAGACGGGTCGACGCGACAGCAGCTGGCGCGGGACTGCAGATGCGCCAGCCACACTGGTACGGTCTGCTGCTTTCGGGGGCGAGAGGAGCAATTGAGTCAGCTCTCGAGGCCCCGTGCGCCGCGGCTCTGTGCCCCGAAAGCGAATGATCACGGGGAGCAGAAGCGCTGGCTCCGTCATGTTCACGCGACGAGGGCGTTCCCGCGTGCAGGTATCCGGTGGCCTCGGATAGGCGAAACGAAGCTGGACGTTGGTATGGAACTAGTACAGCGATTGCGAGACTCGAGAGAGCTGGTCAGGTGAGCTCTTGTCGCAGTCAACATGCGATTGCAAACAGCCCGTTTCGATTTGTTTCTTCTGGTCCAGCGACTGCATACACAGCCCGTGCAGTAGTTCTTTTGTGCAAGCTGCTTTGGCGGAAGGCAGAACATGTACCTTCAAGTTGTGGGAAAGTCAGTCCTTTCGTCTTCCATGTCTTCTTCTTCGTCTTCTTCTTCTTGTTTGGTGCAACTGCTATGTCTGCTCGACTGGAGCTGCTGGCTCGTCTACCTGAACGCGGCTACGTAGGACAAGTCGCACGGGTGTGCCTTCGAGTACCTCGTCGAAGACAACTGCAAGTGACTTGTGATCGTTGATGACGAGCAATGACGTTCTGGTAGAGACGGCTGGTAGGACTTGCAGCTGGACTGGCGGTACAAGTCGTACGGGCGTGCAACGGCGATCATGACGTCTCGGCGCGTAGCAGCTCGGGGTGCGAGATCTGTACGCTGCAGTCGTCGAAGGACAACGGCGTTATTCATGCACTGATTCCGCTGCCACGAAAGCTCAGCATCGACGTGGCTACGCACCGGAGAAGAGGTCATGTGGACAGTGCGTTTGTCGCGCTGGTGCCCATCGTCAGGCAGAGGGATCTTGTGTCGAGAGGGCACGTACGCCGTTGGCTGCGCTCTGGTGGATAGTCTGGTGGAAGGCCCCCCCATCGCCGTCAGACTGCGGCTACGTGTGACAACGTTTTTGTCCCGTCGGACAATGGGCCGACGACTGGACACTCGCGTACTGCAGCGTCGCCGTTGTTGCTGACGAGCTGTGGCATGATCCGTTGGCAAAGACAGCGTCTCTAGCGGGAGGACTGTCCACAAGCGCAACACAATGTTAGTCAGCATGTAAGACAGAGATCTGACAGCTGTAACGGAAGTTCCGAGATCGTACAGTCTGACTCGCGAGACAACGTTTGCTGGCGGCGCTTTAGCTGCTGCTCAGCCTGTTGGCGCGAAGAGCGCTTCGGCGCAGGCACGAGCAACGGGTTACCTTCGTCGTCATGGCATTTTGAATGAAGGATCTCGTCGCTACTGAGCGACGAGATACTATCCTCATGCGGTCCGTCTTCTTGGTAAGCTGTCATCATCTCGTGTGCCGTCTCAGTAGACTGCTGTCTGCTATCTCTTGCTCTATGGTCGTCCGATCGAGTCTCGCTCTCCAAAGCCGTCTTCGTGCCGTGTCGGTGTGCGCAGGAGAAGCACACAACTCGTCCTTGCGCGACTCGATCGATCCTGTAGTTCCGCGACACGATGTCGTTGCACTTGTCGCACATCAACTACACGCGCACAGCACAGATAATGAGCACCAGTGCTTGCACACACTGTTTACCGCCTGCACAACGAACGTACCGATCTGCATAGAACGCATCGCTCTTTGGGCTTCCACGCCGATAGTTGGTTCGCACAGGCGCCACAGCGCCTCTCGGCGTGTAGCTGCAGCGCTCTCGTGAGCGAGACTTTCCTCGACTTGAGCATCGTTGTCGACATCTTGAGGTAATGATTCACTAGCTCGATCGTCCGTCTTGACTGCGCTTTCAACAACCTTTGAATCAGCACAGGCGTCACGTGGTCTCGCTTGATGTGGTAGCACACAGTGGCTTTGAGCACGCCCAGCTCGTCGGTCTCCTCGAAGAACAGTCCCGAGTACAAAAGCTCAGCTCGATGGACATCGACTCCGTAGGACGTTCGAAACGTCGGACACGCCTTGTGTTGGACCGAGTGCAAGCACCTCGCCCAGCCGCGACGGCCACTCGCCGTTTCAAACGGTCTCGTGACCTCCAGGTAGCAAAAGTCCTGGTCTGTGGCCACGAGGCGACTTGGCGAGTGCAAGAGCGACCATCGAAGACTCACGCGGTCGAGTGCTCGCTGTTGTGTAGGAGACTGAAGCACGGCGAGCTCTCGCGACTTGGAAAAGTCCAGTGCCATCTTCACGTCGTCCTTCAGGTACAACTCCGTGACGGCATCCAGCGATCCGTAGACAGTGAACGGTTCCAGCAATGTCATCACTTGCTCCTTGCACTCAGGCGACGAGCGGGACGCCTTGGCCTTCTCGAGCCATTCTTGCGTCGTGGCAAAGATGCCACTGCTCTGCTGAACGAGGTCCAGCCGCTCTCGTTCCGAGACAAGGGCTGCTGCCATGTTTGTTGTCGTCTCCAAGTCTAGAGCAACACCAACAAGGTATGTCAATTTGGACAATGACGTCTCGACCAGTCCGACTTGTTGGCGTCAACGAGTCCTATTTGCCGTGTGTTGTCCGAGCTCATCGAACAAGCGACAGCTTGTGCCAAAAGTAATGTGCTATTGACGATAGACGAGCTCCAGCTGGACACCAACAAGCAATGGAGGCTCCCCAGGCCAGACGACGCTCTCCTGACTGGTAAAGCGAAGACCCCACACGCACGGTGTCCTGATTACCACTAAGCTCCAAATGCTGCGCATTTACGCTACACCAGGCGTCGTTTCTACTCGACATGCGGTGGCTTCCGTGAAAACAATTGCTTCGAGTGCACGTGGTGCGTGAACAACCACTTCCCTTCTTCTCTCGGCACCTGAACGGCAGAGGTTAGCGCCGAGCATTCTTGCAATCCAGACTGGTGCTAGTCACACTGGACCAGCAGCGAGCGTAGCAGACGGCCGAGTGTGAGGAGGAGTTACCGATGTAGATCCGCACGATTGGACTACTGAAATTTGAACGCAAGTCCATTTCAAAGTTCATGCAGCCCACCAGCTGCAATCCACAAATACAATACTAGAGGGTGCCGCCCAACGCTACGCTACTCGGCAGACATATCCAAACCTTGCTATATCCAGTTGTCGTCGTCTTCACTCTCCGATCCGCCGCTATCCTGGCGGCTGTTCGCCTTGATCGCGCGTAGCACACGGTACTGTTCCTTTATGCGCGCATGCGTTTCCTCTTCGTCCTCACTGTTCTCGGCGTCTGCCATCTCTTGCTGCAAACGGGTCAGCTGGGCAATTTGCTCCAAAAGGACCCGAGCAGGTAGAGGCTCGTCAGTCGAGGGCGGCGCATCCATGTCGTCGTTATCTTCCGAAATGATGGACGATTGTCCGGATGCGAAGGACGCCTGGTGGCCGAGGCTCCTGCCAAGGCCAAAGCTCTGGTGGCCATGGAAGCTCCGCAACCCGTTAAAAGCACCATCGTCGTCGTCGTCGTCGGAATCAGACAGACCGATTTCCTCAGCAGTCAACGCGATCGACTCTCGGCATTCCTCCTCGAGCCGCCGAATTCGGCGGCGCAGTTTCTCCATGTCCATCTCGTGCTTGCTATGAACTTCCTCCATGACATCGGAAGAGCGCCACTGCATCACCGTCTCCTCATCTCGGAATCCGGGATGCAGTGATCGGCCCGGCCGGAACGCGCTACCGAGCAAGTCTTCGTCGAGATCGGAAATGCGGTTGCCCAAGTGGTCAACTGCAATCCGATTGAGCTCTTCCATCCGCCGCAAATGGCTCGCTTCAAGATTGGACATCGTGTCGGGCGAGCGACTTCCGTCCATATCATGCGTTGAACGATTCGCACGGATCACGTCAAACAGTTCCATTGTTGGGCGGTTCATCAACTCCTCGTCGATTGCTGACGCGCACGACTCGCGAAAAGAACTTAGCGCATGCTCCGATATATCAGGACTCGACGCCCGGCTCGAAATTGACATCTCGAACAATGACGCTTTTTCATGGTTGCCGTCCTCGTTGGCATTCGAGTGTAGCTGCGCGTGGTTCAAGTAAACCTGGGACATACCACGATGTGAATGAGTGTCCGCTTCGCCATTCTCGTCTCCACGAATAAGCTTGCTATCCGACACGATAGTCGGCATGTCAGCGTAGAACTCATCGACGGCCGAGCCTCCTTCGCCTAAAACGAGCTGCGAGCTTTCAGGATCAAACTTCGGGTACCTCGTCTCGAGCGTAACCGACTCCTTACTCAGGCGCTTTGCCATTGCGCTTGCGTGCTCGATTTCGGACTCATTGCTTGAGCGGTAGGCAGATTCAGTGTGTCCAAAGTCACCTTGTTGTTCCACGGCCTCTTCGCCCGACTGGCACGTCGGCTGACCATCCTTCTTGTCGCTTTTGCGCACAACGATCTCGTCCAGGTCCTTATCGTGTTCTTCGCTGGAACTATGAGATGACCTGGCATTGTCAGGCCCATTCTTATGTCCACGTCCGCTCTCTGCTAACTCCACGCTTTGACGGCATGGTGGAGTTGTAATACCGTTCGTGTATTCGACCTCGGACTCCACAGGCCCCACACGTTGGTGGCGCAACGGAGTGGCCATGCCGCTCATACGCTCGGCCTCAATCTCCCCAGACTCCACGTTCGACCGGCGCGGTGAGGTGGCAACACTGGCACTTTGTTCATGACCGCTCTCGCTCTCAACAGATTCCACGCTTGACCGACGGGGCGGAGTGGCAATACCTGCACTTTGTTCATGCTCGCTCTCACTCTCATCAGATTCCACGCTTGACCGGCGCTGTGAAGTGGCGACACTGGCATTCTGTTCGTGCTCGCTCTCGCTTTGGGTCTCGACAGACTCCACGCTTGACCGACGCGGTGGAGTGGCAATACCTGCACTTTGTTCGTGCTCGCTTTCAGCAGACTCCACGCTCGACCGGCGCGTCATGATGGTAATACCTGCACTTTGTTCGTGCTCGCTCTCGCTTTGAGTCTCGACAGACTCCACGCTTGACCGACGCGGTGGAGTGGCAATACCTGCACTTTGTTCATGCTCGCTCTCGCTCTCAACAGATTCCACGCTCGACCGACGCGTCGGGGTGGCAAAACCTGCACTTTGTTCGTGCTCGACCTCGATCTCAAAAGACTCCACGTTTGACCGGTGCGGCGGGGTGGCAACACTGGCCTTCTGTTCCTGCTCGGTCTCGACATACTCCGCGCTTGACCGACGCGGTGGAGTGGCGATGCTTGCACTTTGTTCATGCTCGCCCTCGCTCTCAACAGACTCCAAGCTCGACCGACGCGTCGGGGTGGCAATACCTGCACTTTGTTCGTGCTCGACCTCGCTCTCAACAGACTCCAAGCTCGACCGACGCGTCGGGGTGGCAACACTGGCATTCTGTTCCTGCTCGACCTCGCTCTCCATAGACTCCACGCTCAACCGGCGCGTCGGGGTAGCGATGCCTGCACTTTGTTCGTGCTTGCTCTCGCTATCAACAGACTCCACGCTCGATCGACGCGGTCGGGTGGCAACACTGGCATTCTGTTCCTGCTCGACCTCGCTCTCAACAGACTCCACGCTCAACCGGCGCGTCGGGGTGGCAACACTGGCATTCTGTTCCTGCTTGCTCTCGCTATCAACAGACTCCACGCTCAACCGGCGCGTCGGGGTAGCGATGCTTGCATCTTGTTCCTGCTTGCTCTCGCTCTCAACAGACTCCACGCTCGACCGACGCGGTCGGGTGGCAACACTGGCATTCTGTTCCTGCTCGACCTCGCTCTCCATAGACTCCACGCTTGACCGGCGTGGCGGGGTGGCAATACCTGCACTTTGTTCGTGCTCGCTCTCGCTCTCAATAGATTCCACGCTTGACCGGCGCGGTGGAGTGGCAATACCTGCACTTCGCTCCTGTTCGCTCTCGACAGACTCCACGCTTGACCGGCGCGGTGGGGTGGCGACACTGGCATTCTGTTCCTGCTCGCTCTCGCTCTCGCTTTGGGTCTCGACAGACTCCACGCTTGACCGACGGGGCGGGGTGACAATACCTGCACTTTGTTCATGCTCGCCCTCAACAGACTCCACACACGACCGGCGCGTCGGGATGATAATACCTGCACTTTGTTCGGGCTCGCTCTCGCTCTCAACAGACTCCACGCTTGACCGGCGCGGTGGGGTGGCGACACTGGCATTCGGTTCCTGCTCGCTCTCGCTTTGGGTCTCGACAGACTCCACGCTTGACCGACGGGGCGGGGTGACAATACCTGCACTTTGTTCATGCTCGCTCTCAACAGACTCCACACACGACCGGCGCGTCGGGATGATAATACCTGCACTTTGTTCGGGCTCGCTCTCGCTCTCAACAGACTCCACGCTTGACCGGCGCATCGGGGTGGCGACACCTGCGCTTTGTTCATGCTCGCTATCGCTCTCAACAGACTCCACGCTTGGTCGACACGGCGTGGTAGCAATACTTGTATCCTCTTCGTGCTCACTCTCCGCGGACCCTGCACTTGAAAAGTGCGGTGAAGTGGCCGAGCCACCTGTGCGTTCATGCCTATCCTTCATAGATTCTGCACTTTGGTACTGTGGTAGACGAGCAAAACCACTCTTCGGTCCATGGCCGCCATCCTCAGACTCTACGCTTGGGCGGCGAGGCAAGGCGGCTACGTCATGCACACTTTGGCTCATGCTCTCGACTGATTCCACGCTTAAACGGCGCGGTGGTGTGCGTAGGTCAGCATTCTGACTGTGCGTGCTGTCGATAGACTCCAGGCGCGGACGATGAGGCGGGGTAGCTACACTCGAATTCTCTTCATGCATTTCCCCGCTCGGATAGAAGGCAGGGTCACCAAGTCGTTCAGACACGCTCTCCGCAGCATTCGCAGTTAAGCCCCGTGGCGGGGTAGCCAAGCCGCTCACCTGTTCGTACTCACGCTCCACAGATTCCACACTCGAGCGACGCGGAGGAGTGGTGAATCCACGTTTTACTCTGGTCTTGCATTCATCAGACTCTTCGCTGGAGCAATAGGATACATCCATGGGCTCACTCTCGTCTTCATTGTCGTTCCTGTCCGACTCTTCGCTGTAGCGACCTGCTGACGGTCGGATGATTTTGTGAGAGACTATATCAAGGTCTTCGCTCGAGTCATACCCCATTTTTTCCTCACTCCTATACTCTCGCTCTGCATAGTCTTCACTTAGACAGTAAGACATCTCAGAACCATTCGTACTCTCACTTTCCCCATCGTCACCTTCTACGCTTCTCAATTCTCCTAAAGCAAACGCAATAGTACCGCTGCGCTTTGTGCGTCCAAGCGCTCGAGATCCAAAATCAAATTCTCCGTCATCAATGTCGACGGAGCCGGCAGAGCTGGTAGAACTCATGGTGCTATCACCGAAGCGGTTTCCAGGGTAGCCCGTCAGGCTACTGGAGCTGTCGTGTAGGCCACTAAGACTAGATGAGCTGTCGTGAAGACCACCAAAAGTGGACGAGCTGTCCCGACCATCGTCTGCAATGACGTGGTTGTCCGTCATTTTAGTCAGCTCCTCCATTCGCTTCCTGTGCTCCTCTTGTAGTCGCTGCAAGTCGTCGGATAAAGAACGTTCCTCATCTGGCAGCTTGTACGCTGCACGAGCTCGCATTGAGTCAATATGCTCCGTCATGCCTGCCAAAGATTGGTTCAGCAAATCCTCATCCAACAGCGAATCAAGAGAGTTGCGTTCGGCACTAAATCGCTCCATCATTGCAATGTTATCGGATGACTTGTCGAATGGCTCCATCATTGCGATTTTGCTGGAAGCATTTGCACCATTTACCGAAATCTGCGACATATCGAGCGAAATTCCATCCGGATGCCTGAAATCGGAAACACTCGAGACACTCGAAGTATCCGATTGTCGACCACGATATGAAGTATTCCTTGACTTCTGCAAGTTGTTCACCCGCCGGTCATTGGACGACGAGTTACTGCCTTTACTAACACGAAACCCAGACCGATGCGTGTTGAACACAAGATCTTCACTACGCGCAGATGGCGCGAGACTGACGCGCACATCGTCAGACTTTACAAAAGCATTGTTCGACCGGTCGGATAGAAATCGGCTTTTCTCGAAATGGCTGCTATCACCCATCCGTCGCGAACGGTTGCCACCAAACGATCCGATATCTTTACTGTCGACAAATGCATTCTTGGGCACCCGGCGGCTTCGCACGCTAGGAGGGGTCCCAGGTGGAGAGGCATACGGGACCTTCATCGGGGAATCAGAAGTGGTGTGGCTGGAATAGCGGCGGGAACCGCGAAGAGGCTGCTTCCTTCCAATTGCAGCAGCACTAGAACGATCGCTCTGACAACGATCATCACTCTGGGCAAATGAAGCAGACGAACGACTCCAGTTCGGTACCGTGAGTCGCCTTGCCTCCTTTTCCGAAACCAGTTCTTGCATCCGTTCGATTTCGCACATCCTTGCTAAGTGTTCTTCTTCCATAGACTTCAGCGCCGCCGACGACCGATTGCTTCCCGAATCATGACGGAGTGCCCGATTGCGGTTGCGGCGTACTTGTTCCAGGATCGCAGAAGGTCGATCACTATCATGGCTTCTCGAGCCCCTTGAGCTAGCACGGGAAGCATGAGAACTCCTGCCAGCTACTCCGGCAGTTGACGCCACGCTCGGGGGTATCTTTGGAGCACGCTTTGATGATAGTCGGTCTGTCCCACGGCGCCCTTCTTTTGGAGACAGCGAGGTGATACACTTCCGCGCAGCAATACCCTTCGGCTTTCGATCCTGTAAGCTCTGGATTTTGTCCGACTTGAGCGCCCCGAGGTGTAACGGACTGTCACCTACTTCGCGTTCTCGAAGCAGTGGAGAAAGAGGGGGCGGCGGGGGCGGAGGCGGGAACTCGCTCTTGATTCCATAGCGTGCCGCGCGGGTTTTCGCGAGACTTTGGATCGACAAAGTCTTACCGGTATGGTTTGTGTTTAGTGCGTGGCTGTCGTAACTCTCGTCATAATTTGTGCCTTGCTCCGCCTTATTCTTTGACTGCCGCATCGATCTAGACGTCGTGCCTTGCTCTGCCTTGTGCGTTGACTGCCGCATTGATCTGGACTTTGTGCCTTGCTCTGCCTTGTGCGTTGACTGCCGCATCGATTTGGACTTCGTGCTTGAGTTGTAACTTGCAACATACCCGCCGCGATGGCTATGAGGTTCGTCTTCCGGGATAGGTGCTGCTGCGTCGTACCTTCCTATTCGCCTGTCAGGCTTCCCTTCATACGCACGATACCTTCCTTCATAGTCGCTACTCCCACCAGAGCTTGCTCCATAAAAGTTGTTGCTCGTTGTCGAGGCTTGAGGGTCATAAATGTAGCCATCAGCGGGCCTCGTGCTGCTGGCCTGGTTCCATTCCATCATACTGCTCGCAGCACTATTGCCCCCGGTCCAGTCTGACGTGCTAGTGCCACTAACAGAGCTGTCCACGCTGGTATTGACACCACCGTTATATTGGCTGTCATCAAGTTCATTTGTCGTGCCAAAGTGACTCGATCCCTTGAAGTGACTGTCAAACTTTGATGCACCAAATTGGCTCGTACCAGCAGAATCGCGACTCGCATCGGTGAAACGAGACTGGGCAAACACACTGTAGTCCGACTGTTCCTCGAGTCCGTCCTCGTCTTCGTCATCCTCTATACTATAGTCGTCGTCACGGTATTTATCCGGATGATCCTGGTGATCTTGTAAAATGTCCGAGTACCGCGTCTCGTTCTGCATGCGTCGCAAGTCCTCGTCTCCATCACGTGGGTATGGCAGCGACTCTTCCTCTTCTTCATAGTCGTCACGAGGAGACAAATGGCAGCACCTCGTGCACACGCGGGTCTTGACGACGCCATATTTGGTCGAGATCGTGACCTGCGGCGCACACGGTTGACACACGACTTCGCCACACACGCGACAGCGCGTTTTACGCACAAACAGTGAAAACTTGCGGGCACAGTTCACGCACAAGACGCGCGATCGCTTCGGCATGAGCTGCTTCTTCTTCAAGAGCGTCTGTCGCCCCATGCGCGTCGTCTGGATCTCGCGACTGATGGTCACAACCGACAGAATGCGCCGCTTCAGTGCGGAGTTCAAGAGAAAGTGCGGCAACCGATTCGTGCTCTTAAAGTTGATCTGCAGACTGTGCATGACGTCCATGTACCCCTTCTTCTCGGCTTCGACAAAGACGTAGCCAGATTGGTACATACTGCCTCGCACGATGCCGTCGATCTCGGGACAGCTCGGCAGCTTGATCGAGTGCATACTGAGCACCCACCCGCGACGTCCCGACGCATGACGAAACGTGTTTTGGCACTCGAGAAAGCAGTAGTCGCGCTCGCGCGAGAACGCGGACGGGCCTTCGAGAAGCTGATACTTGGCCGATACGCGGTAGAACGGGTTCTTGGGGTCCCCCCGCACGAGGAGGTACAGCACGCCACAGTCCAGCACGTCTTCGGCCTTCTTTGCGCGCATCTGCTCGGTCGTCTGCTGGTCGAAGTAGTCGGCCACTTCCTCGATCGCGCCCATCATGGTCGTTACACCGCACAGGAACTCCGTGCCACTACTGCCTCCGTGGTCGTAGCTGCCTTCGCCGCGGTACATTTGGATGCCGCGGAACTTGCCCGTGTAGTGCCACTGCACGGGTCCGTCCAGCGTGTGCGCGTGCTCGACGAGCGCGACGGACGCTTCTTTGGCCTTGCGGATCATGTAGGCGCGCTCATGGGCAGACAACAGCGGCACTGGCGTCGCGCCGTTGCCGGGTGCGGCGCTCTGCGCGCGTTGTCGACTGAGCGTGCGCGCTTTCCCCATGTCGTTGGCGCCAGTGCGGAATGGTGTTTGTTCGTCACGTCACGTCACGCTTGGTTTCCCTTGCGTTTTTCGCAGAGTGATGGTCGGGACGTGAGGTTTTTCTCACGACAGGAAACGCCAGTCCGTTAGTCAGTCTGTCAGCCAGCAAGTGATACAACCTCTTCTATCGGCGAAGGGCAACTTGTCAGGAAAGAGGGTTTTATCCGGGTTTTATCCGCGTGCCTACTGCGACCGCTGCTACGCGTATCCAGCAGGCGGGGCGAACGCTCGGAACGCGGGTGCGCGTGCGGCGATGAAAGCGTCGAGCTGCTCGATCACCTGCTCGGGCGTGGCCCTCTCGTGCTGCTTCGCGTTGTGGTGCACTGGGCTTTTCAGGAGCGACTTTGGCGGCCAATCGGAAGGAAGGATTGCTGCACTGTGTTGGGAGGCTGCTTGCAGGAAGTGTTACTTCAGAGAGCGTCGTCAAGTTGTGAAACTGCGAGCAAACGATTGGCCCGCGGTCGACTCGTCGAGTACAGAAACCGACGTTTGCCGAAAGACGAACATCGGGTTGGGCGTAATAACATTATATACAAACTGTGCGCTAGGCACAAAATCTTGGCCAGATACAGCTCATGAGCGAGTGCGCCGTTCATCGACTCGCTTCGCTGGGCGGTTTCTTGCATAGCTGTGCCATCGGTTTAGTAGCTAGCGAAACGCTGCAAATCGATGAGCGACGACGGCTGAAAAGTGCACTACGTTTCGGGCTCTCGATGGGATCGGTGGGTGACCACACAGTATGGGTTTGCATACTGTGTCAATGTAAAGTCAACGTCAACAGCTGTCGTAGTGCCGTGACGTTGCAACGGGCCATGCTCAGAGGCTATAGTGCTATAGAAAGGGAAAGTCGTACGGCAAAGTCGCCTGTCGTCATCACGGTCTAAAACCTTTCTTTTTGGCCCGTGGCTTTGCTTGCTCGGTGGGATACTGAGCTTGAGCGAGCTACTCTGGCCATCCGACGTCTCCACCAAATGAACACGAGCGTATGAGAAGCACAGGTGTCCATCCGGTAGAGACGTTACCTTTACACGATACCGTCGCAACAAGGAAGGTACTGTTGATGTCGTCGTTGCGTCGCGAGGTCGAGACTGAGCGAGAAGTACAAAGAACCGACGTACATACTGATGCATATCCCCGTGAGTAATGCACGAAATCTTGAAAGTAGTAGTTTGTGTGATACTGCTGTGAGTAAAGTACAGACCCGACAGCGACGAGCAGCGTATGCCATCACGTGAGGGATCTCTTGTACCAAAAGCCAACAAGCGACATAGCCGTTGTATCATCGCGACTCGTCATCGGCATCCACGTCAACGATAAGACACATCTTTGTGCTTACGTACGGCAAGAGTGTACGACGCACGTTTCGATTTCGATTAGTTCGAGGATATCTGTCGTCAAGCATCGTTCATTTAGTACGCGAGTTTTCCTGTGCTCCCTTCGATCAGTTGTCGCAACGAACTTTTGTTCGCCTATCAGCAGCCAAAGTATGTTCACCGGCTTCGATTTTGACCCTTCGCGATAAGTCACACGGTCCAGTCTCAAGGGTAACTAAACTTTGCAAGACAAAGTTCTTTTCAGAGTTTGCCTCTTTTTTCAGCGCTGTGGGATGGGTATCAAGCACTGTTTGTCATTGATACTGTATCCTGTCTGGAAGAAAGATTGCTCAAACCACAAGTCAAAGGGTACAGCTTGCGTTGCGAACATCAAGATAAAGGCTGCATTGATTCTTTAAGCAGCCCAGTAAATTCTTGGGTAGCACCAAATCTAAACATCTACACCCCACTTCAGGCATGGTGTAGGACGTAGATCTTTCGGCACACGTGAACTAGCTTTCTGTAACGGATGCCACGTTTCCAGTTTGTCCACTGCTTGTCCTTTCCTCTTGTCTTATGAACCTCTTCCAGCATCTCGTCTCACGACAACTTCGGCTGAGCACTCTCATTCTTTTTGATGTGATCAAGAAGCTCCAACTTGATGTGGGTTCGTTCTGGACACGCAGCTGTTCGGTCGTAGCTTGCAGCTTCTGTTCCGGCTCAACCTCTGCCTCCTCTATCTCACTCGATCCATCCTTGTTCCTTCCAAGCATCTCCGTAGCACAGGAGCGACAAGAGGGAGTGGCTACCGTCCAGCGTATGGCAGGCAGTAAGTCGGTCAACTTTGTCGATGATGTCGACCTCCCATGCTCGTCATAATCGATTGCATTCTGCAGATACGAACGGAAGCAGTGTTGCTTGAATGCCGCGATGAGGGCGAACCTCCATCAGCTGGATCTTGGCCGTCGTTTCTAGGCAATCGATGAGCTTTGACATTGGCAAGCCTCACACAATCCGTGACATGCAACGAGTCATTGTCACTTTTCATACGAAGGCATCATACATCATTGTTACAGCTACCACAGGAACTCGAATCCCATGCAATAAAGCGAAGGAGGGTCTCACTCCTTTGGACATGTGACCTATCTATCTAGATGCCTGCGGGTGAAGTACCTTGTGAACAATCTTAAGACATGTCATCTCGGGACCAATTTCCTGTCTCTTCCTGGCCGTTTGTGTCTTGTTGGCGTTGTATCGTTTTCTGTGTGCTCCCCCACCTTTTGTGGGGGTTATTACGCATTACCCACTAAATTGTTGACGTCCGCAAGGATATAGAAAACTCCGTCCATCCGTCCACTATGCCCGTCTTCTATCGGATATAGCGCTGTATCTGCGTCCGAAAGGAACAAGGAACCAAACAGACGACAAGCACGACAGGCATGATACTGGCGGAACGATTGGCACGATAGGCATGGGTTTTCTCGAATCATGTGTAGCTGTGGGTTCACGATTGTCCGAGAATGGTATCTTGAAAGTCGAGTCCTGTGTGTAATAGCAGCGTGACATCATCAGCTGCCGAGTGTACCGGAAGTCCAGTACCAATCCATCTGTCAACAGAGCCATCCCATCTTGCGACATTAGAACAACGCACAGCAACCGCTCCTCTTCGATATGCTAGGCTCCGCCGTTCCACTGGATAGCTGGCTTACGATATGTGGAGCTGCAGCAAGGAACAACTCTTGCACACCTCTCATGGACCAAATTCACAGATGCACCCTCTTTTCCAGATCAACAGCTCCCGAAGTACTACGTGGCCGCTTGCCGTATGACATCCTCTGTCAGTTCTGAATTCGATGCACTACAACGATGATATATACCTATATACCCGATGATGACCTTGCTGATCGTCAGTCGTCAGTCGCGTATACGTCAAACACGCTTACAACTAAACCCGAACAAGCGACGCCCGTTGTCGTCTGCATTTCAGGAATGGTCAGGAATGGCAAGTGGCTCATCTTCTGTCTTGCTCTTATCATACATTGTTAGGACAGGTGCTTCAACGTGTCCATTCTACAATCTTGGCACCTCACGCAACGTCGAAATGTATACTGTCTCCCGCATCATCCTAGTGCCACGCCATGGTAGCTAGTATTCCAATTCTTTGACGGTTGCTACCAGAAGCACAATATCGAAGCATCTGGCTGCAATCAAGACAGCGTGGTCGTATCGGCAGTGATATTCAGGCTGTATGCCAAAAGACGTTTATCTGTACCCTGCGTGAGACGCTTGTCGAACATGCCGTTTCTACGCCTATCACCACCGTTCGTTGAATCAAAGCAAACTCTAGTTCTCTCTGGCATGCAAGGATGCTGATCTGTCATGTGCGGTAGACGGTTAACGCGCTCTATGTTGAGCAGTGTGCAAATGCTGAGTGAGAAACCATGACGCAGCCCATCAGAGAAGGAAAATAATGTGGTGGATCGGTGTCGTCACCGACTTTGATCCTCTTCTTACCGATCTGCTCGACGCTTATGCATGTCTGCACACGAGAGCATTGTCTATCAAATCTGCCTATTGGTACAACGACGCTATCATGTACAAGGTGGTCAGCAGCGTAGAACGGAGCGGTGTTGTCAAAGACCAACGATCAAAAGGGAAGTCCATGCTCTCTATGTGTAACGAGATATGTAACGCAACATGCAGCGCGTAAATGAAAGCTTCCCTTTCCTGATAAATGTACAACGGTACGGCTTCACGAAACGAGTGTAGAAGGCATGTACACAATCTTTTCTTCCGACCTCCGGTGATGGCCGGTAGGCAGCTACGAATCATTAAATTACCAATGCTACTCGAGTTGTGGCAGTGTGCCATAAGAAGCCATTGTCTTCCTTACCAGGCAAGAGATCGGCATATCGAGTTGTGTCGATGATAAATATGATGCTCGACTGACAAGAAGACCGGATCCGCTAATATTACATATATACCCATCATCCTCAGTCCATAATTAATCGATGACGGGGCTGGTAAGCAGGATACAAAGTAGCTAGCAGCGTCGCAGTAGTCACATGAACTTTGCCGATGCCTCGCAACTTTCTAGGCACACCAGGCGAAAGTCTGTTGCGTTATCTTATCGTCGATACAGGCGGTATACCACAGGTGCTTACCGAACCGAACTCGCTGCAGAGATCTCGTCAGTGACAGTTGTTTGCAAAGCTCAACCGTTGTGGCTAGTACGGATGTACCGGGAGTAGAATTTATGAAAGTGTGGCCATTCACTTTTTGTTCTGGCACAGTCCTCTGATCGATATCGTACGAACTCGCTTGGACGACAGCGACCATTTTGTTGCTTGCGCGCAGCTCACTTGTTGTATCCAAAACGAGTTTTGAACGCTAGGCTAAGCCGCGAGTGCTTTGATTTCCTTGGGGTAACATCAGCGTACGAGATCACCTTCATGTAGACCTTAATTGTCTTGTTGCTTACGAGCGTTGCGACACGATGCGCCTGACACGTGACATTGACAGTCTATTTAGGTGTAACTGTCGAAAAGGACTTGGTACTTAATACTATGCACTATTATCACAAAGTCGTATCGTTACATATTACCTTACAGAACGATCGTGAGGGAATGAGGTTGATAAATGGTGTTTTCCGAAGCGTTTGAACATCATTACACATTGGCTGATGTAGGCCATGATGTCCGTCGACAACGTCACGAACCACATGTGTCGATCGAGTGTGTTGAAGTTTTGGTAGAACATAGTTCTACCAGATCGTGGCATACGTGGAATCAAAGTATATCGAAAAAGAAGAAGCACACTTGCCGGTCTGCTCCAATCGGAACCAACCAAAGTCACACGGTCACGAGTAAACCGAGCACTAGAACACGCCCGTAGCGGAAAGCGGCTGCGTCAGAGGGCCCCGATGTGGTATCAATTTGGAGCTCGTAGTGCCGCACACTGCAGTACGTCTTAGAAATTTGTGCTGGAAAGCGCAGTGAAAATACTGTCAGAAGCATTTCTGAGTCATTAAGTAGTCAACCAGCAACATCGATCATTGTAGGCCCATGTGGTGGAAAGCCGTCGTACGGGACTTAGCTATCATCAGCGAGCGACGGGCACTATACGAACCGAAGTTCTGGTGCATCTATTCTGGAGACTCGGACGATACATCCGACTCATAGTCTCTCGCTGAGCCCCTCCCCCTCAAACCCCCGATTCCACCGAGACTGGGGGTGTCTTCTTGAGATCGACTCGATATGTCATCCCTTGACTGTAGACAGAAGAAGACTGTATGTTATAGGGTTCCAGGATTGGTTAAGTCGTCCATTCCGATGTCGTTTCGACGACATTGGCGCAGTTTGCGTTGCGAGATCGCAGTGATCAGAGCACTCGTGATGTCAGTGGCCACGCCGGCACAGATGAGGACAAATCAGCTTTCGTATGAAATGAAGACTATATAAATCAAACGGCCGTGGTGTTGTTGCCGCTGTCAAACAACCGTAAAGTGAGCCTAAGGTTTACCCCCAACATGAGCTGAGAGATCACCTCAGTATTGGATAGCGCGGCAAGCAGGACGAATCAGTTGACGTTTGCAAAACTAGGCTGTTTCATTTGCCAGCGATCATCTTCGCAGTCGTATGCATTCCTACAGGAATAGTTGCATATTCATTCGATGTGTATATCATAGAATGATGGCACAGCAGTATTCGAAAGCAAAACAGTTTTGTTATTGCAAACGTAAGTATGTCGGATTGTTACAAAAGAAGGGGATAGACTATATGGTATCGCTCGACACAGCATCATGTATCAGCTTGTTCATAAAATACCACCTGACGTGACCACACAGATGGGTCATGACAGGATCATCAATGAGCTTTCGTGACTCTGAGAGAGTCATTAACAATGCAGGGAATACGATATTGTAAGTATCTGTGACGAACAAACGCTATAATTCTCTTCTCGCGTGCAATCATGAAGCAATGGACAATCTACATCGCGAAGTGGTAAACGGACTCGACTATGCCCTGGTAATCACAGTGATAGAGGATCAGAATGCCCTGTTGCGAACAGTTTACGGGGCGGAAGGTAATCTCTAAGTTAGGGTGTAGATGTGTAGTAATTTAGTCCGTCACTCTTTCCATTCGCACCTTAGTAACTCTGTGCTTGTATGGTTTGTGGCATTTATAATCGCTTGCGATACTATTCAATGCTTGTTATTGCACGAATCTGAATAAAAGAGGAGGCCCTCAAAGTGTCGATGCTTCAGCGAACATCGGTCGTTGCTGCTCGGTTGACATAGTATGTTCTTTGAACAAACCAGGGTTCGGCGTCTTGCTGCGAGGATGTGCTAAATATCGATCAGACACGCGTTCCATCGCTTCCGTGTCATCCATCATCCATACACTAGGCTTATCTCCCGGTGGGATGGTATTTTACTTGCTGGCATAAGCGCCCACGAGCATTCGCTAGCAAGGCGCTGTTTGTCCGGTCCATTACTCGGCTAGTTCCACCCAGTGTGCTGCGACGCGCTTTCGTCCTCCGAACAAACGGCCCGTGGTCTCCATGCATCCTCGGCAGCATTATGTATTGTTATAACAACAGCTCTCGTATCTTACGACCCGATGCAACTTTCGTTGCCGATTGCGACCCAATTGTCGGTCAATGATGTTGACTTAGCATTGGATGTCCCGGAATAGAGGCAGCCAAAAGCAAACTTGTCTGTACCCATATTTGAGACTCTTTTTCATTGATCTGCTTTCAAAATGGCCTTACACACCGAAATGGGCGTGACACACCGGAATGGACGTGACACACTAATTATAGTGTGCACAAGGCTATCAGAAGTTGCCAAGAGAAATTCACACGTTCGTAACATCGTCTTGATCGAATAAAAAACTAAATGTGCACTGATATCCACGGTGTTCGTACTCAGCGGTTTCGTCCTCCGCGTTGTTTGTGTTCCTAACAAATCGGAGGGAAGACTGCGGCTGCAGCGTAATTGTGCACTTAGACCACAGTCTCTGAAGCTATCAGACGGTAAATCTGGAGGATCCGAATGCATATGCCGTGTGAAAATGTCGAATCGTCTTCCTCATCTGCCTGCAAAGATTTAGAAACCCAGATTTGTTACAGTCAAACATCTTTGCCTGCCTCAGTATACACGCTAACCATATTGTCATGACATCGGTACCAACGCCGAGTGGTCAATTGACTCTTGTGTCAGCTACAATTTCCATACTGCAACGTACGATCATACTTGACCTTCCCGATAAAATCACGTGCGAGTGAGCGTGAAATCTGAGGCTGTTATAGTATCTGGTGGACGTTCGCAGTAAAAGAGTTGCTATCAACATTCGGACATACGCTTGACCACCAAGGGAGAATTGTGCAAAATATAGAAGCAAGTGAAGACTATAGAAATTATTTTTTATAAATGCTGTTGTAAATAAAAATGAAGACCATATGGGCATTATGCATGGATTTGTCTGTGCTCAATAGACGACGTACGCATTATACAAGTCCCAGATGAATTTTTCGATACACCAGGATATACATTCGAAACGCCAAAATTCAAGCGGCCATGATTTTCTGATCATGAATGGCATGAAAAACCGACTACCGACATTTTAAAACATGCAAAAGCGACATGAATACTGACGAGCCGATCTTCACATATAGATATAACGCAACGGTGGACGATTGTAAGTCTCCAGTGACGTCGGAACTTCATTCGACGAGATTTCTGTCGTAAAAATGAAGCATTAGCAGCTTTCAGGCTCTCAAACTTGTTTGTCGAATTCTTATAGCGCGTCAAACCAAGATATTACAGTCGACTACAATCAAATGGCGAAGTTATGCACAAGTCAACAGCGATCCTTCTCCAAGCTACGCAATAATCATTATATATTAAACATTTCGAGCCGAGTCTCGTCGAGGTTTGAACTGTATATTAGCTACATTATCAATCGAAAGATTAGACGAGAAGAAGTATAATTCCTTTCCTAACCGAGCGGGCGCCACAATCGACACAGAATAGGCTTGGAGTAGCTTAGTATTGAATCTTGACGCATGATCAAGTTCAAATATTGCATTATGATATTATCTATTACTGTAGTCTATCCGTCCTTGACGGACGCATTGCGATTCGGATCGGACTTAGGTTCCGCATGTGCTGTAGGACGAACCGCAATGATACGATTCTTTCACAATTCACAAGCGACACTACGAGCTCCAAATTGATACCACATCGGGGCCCTCTGACGCAGCCGCTTTCCGCGACGGGCGTGTTCTAGTGCTCGGTTTACTCGTGACCGTGTGACTTTGGTTGGTTCCGATTGGAGCAGACCGGCAAGTGTGCTTCTTCTTTTGTGATATACTTTGATTCCACGTATGCCTCGATCTGGTAGAACTATAGTTTTACCAAAACTCTAACACACTCGCTCGATGGATGTGGAGAGAAAAACACAGCTTCACATGTCTCAATGAGTCACCGTATCTATTCGCTTCGGGCACTTCTTGCCATGCACTGTGTAGCGTAGATTAGGTTTTGTAAGCGTGAAGAATGGTGCTCGCCGTGCATACTGTAGCCACAGCGCTATGTTTACAAGTCTTGAGCCCTCGCACCGCGTCATGCGCGGGTGATGAGTTTTTTTATATTTGCTGTTACCGTCTATCGTCGATTGAAACATCGAATATACATACCGCTCCTTTTCCATAGAGTCATGAACGCTACGATGCCTATAGCTACATGGAAGCGATTGCACGCACTAATTTTGGCGAAATTTCGCTACATATATCATGTTGATGTCGCTTTGAAACACAACTAGTTCCATCAGGCCGATGTGTCAAGTGTCACAACAAGACAGATAAGGCTGACATCGTCTTTCATGCTTAATACGGATACAACGAGTGAGCTGCGTATACAAGACGGATTGTTAGTCGTCTTCGCTACAATTGCACTTGCTGCGTAATCTTGCGTCCTGTGGGCTTAATGAACGATAAAGACGAATGAGTGTGCCCAGTTGCGCACGAAACGGACAGACTTGGAGCAGGTTTGCACCATTTAAGACTCGTCCACGACAATAATTGTGATCTTGTCTAGTGCAGTTCGAGTAATAAAAGAAGATCGACACAAAATATACCTTTCAATTCTTATACAGCGTATGTGTTGATCACACACCCTTTTTCGTACGTCTTACTCAATTTTCGCCATTAAACCGAAATGACCCATTTTCGCAGCACAGTATAACTCATTTCTATATCATGCGTCGAAGCGTACTTCGCGCGCGTGGACGTCTAGCGCGTGCGCATTCCCGTACGCGTGTCGCACCCGCCACTCTCTCGCACTACACTGCTCCTTGTCTCCACGTACCGTTGATCGCCCGTGCACGCTCGAACGCGTCGCTCGCGTCGTCTGCAGTCTCTGCGTCTCCATCGTCGTCATCGTCGTTGTCACGACCGACCGCCTCAGATTCTGATACGCCTGGATCTGATGGCGTGGACCACATAACTATCGATTTGGGTACAATTGGAGCCGAGGACGCCAAGGTATTGACGATTGCTGATGTGCTGAACACCCGCGAACAAGCGCTGGGGGCAAACAAGACACTGTGTGACTATGAAGAGTGGGAGAGCGTGGCCGATACGGTGCGACAAGTGCAATGAGCGCTTGACGAAGCGCGAGGTGTGTATTTGAATGTGTGAATGTAATGCAACTGACGGATGCAATGGGTACTGTTGCTATGTGAAGGGGACAGTGCACGACGCCGTACTGACAATGGGGGAGCGCAACATCGGATCGCTCATCGTGACTGAGGCCAAAGAAGGGATTGTGGGGATTGTCACGGAGCGAGACATTCTCAAAAAAGTGTCGCCACGGACTGAGTTGAGGACCGAAATGATGGTGCGGGACGTCATGTCGTCGCATATTATGTGCATCCACCCAAGCACGACAGTGATTGAGTACGTACCGAGTCGCTGTGTAGCCTCTGCGGTATCGCTGCTGCTTTTCGTCATATTGTTGGTGTTATGTGTTGACGTTGTGTATGTTGTGTTTTGTATGGTGGGCTTTTGTCGCTCGTGTTGATGGATGGACTGACAGTGCTCTAGCGACAATGACGAAAGAGAATATTCGGCACTTGGCCGTGGTGAATGGTGATATTTCAAGTGCCGTAAAGCGAGGATCGGTGCAAGAAGAAGATATGCGGTGCGTGCTGTCGATCACGGACATTGTCCGTGCGTTTGCAGAGTTTGAGGCATCAAAGGCCTCCGTGGCGGCATCGACAAAGCGTGGTGCCACTAAGAGAGAGGCGGATGAACATGCGGAGACGAAGCGACATGAGAATGCGTCGCGGACGGCTGAGACTACCGAGAGTGAGACGGCGGCAGCATCGACGGATGCTACTGCGGCTCCTTCTTCACAGTCGGCGGTCCCAGCACCTCCTGTTGTGACTGCTGCGACACTGCTGAAGAAGAAGCACAAGCGAATCAAGCTGCTTCTGAATACGCGACCGGAGGACAACGTTAGTGTGGCAGAAGCGGTAGAGGCCATGGCCGAGCGAGATTTTGGTGCTGTTCTTGTGGTTGACAAGGAACAGCGTGTCGTTGGCATCTTTACGGAGCGCGATTATATTCGCAAGGTGCTTTCTGAGCTGAAGGATCCAATGAAGCTGCTTGTGACGGATGTAATGTCATCCGTGGGTCCGGTGCTCCAGGTGGAAGATTCGCTAGAGAAGTGCTGGAACGTAGCAGCCACTTCCAAGTGCCGCCACTTCCCTGTGATTGGTGCGCTGCGCCACGAGCGCGAAAAGGAGCTTGTCGGGATACTGTCAATCAAAGATATCGTGCGCGAGATCTCAAAGGACCACCACGCGACGCCAGGGTTTCGCCTCATGGAATTCTTGAAGTCTAAGATGGAGCCTAAGCGTGTGGACTCGAAGCCCAAGCAGTCCGATTTGCCCGAGTCCGAGTCCGAGGTGAATGGCACTCCGACAGATTCCAAGGAAGTCACGGTTGACGAACCTACTACAGACGCGGCAAAGAAAGATTCGCCAGAGACTGCTAGCGCTGGAAGTGAGCCGCACGAGGTTGTGGAGAAACCGCAGACGACCACATTGAGCTAAGCTGCACGCACGTAGGCGTTGGCAGATCAACAGCTTGCAGAAGTACAGGGCTGACAGCGTCACGATGCGATGGCAAGGTACAGAGAACATATGTTGCAATAAATAACATCACTACTGCTGCGATACATGTCTAGTTGAAGGTCGCTGCTGTCCCAGGCAGAGGCTCAAGCGCAGCCTTCTTGGTTCCAGCACGTGGCACGGACATCTTGCTCTCGGCCTCAAGCGCAACGTTCGAATGCGACACCCAGCTGCAGTACAAGTCTTCATTCCAGTCTCGATCCGTCGGGTCTTCGACTTGCACGGTTTGCTGACGCACGCCCAGTGACGCTAGCAGGCACTGGGTAGCGCGAAGGGCTACACGAGGCTCCCCAGTCGGTAGAATGTGCACGCTGGCCGCGTAGTGCCCTTCCGTGAGCATCCACACGTGGAGATCATGCACGTCGTACACCGACGCAAGTGCGCGAATGCGTTTCTCAACCACACGCAGATCCAGTGCTGGCGGTGCACCTTCCATCAGAATGTGCACACTGCGCGTGAGCACGCCAACGGTCGTAGCCAGCACGAGGAACGAGAACAAGATGGTCGTGATCGGGTCCGCCATTTGCCACGACGGGTTGTACCAGATCAAACCACCGGCAAGGCACACGCCCAAGCTCTGGACGAAATCCCCAAGCGCATGAATGTACGCTGCCCGAACGTTGATGTTCTCAAACACTGACGACTTCGGTGCCAGCTTCTCCACTTCCGTGGCCAGCGGCTCAATCTCGACCCCATCAATCAACGCCATTGCCGACATGGGCGTCCGACCGCGATCCTGCACGCTCGAAGCCGTTCCGACACTTGTGGCCTCGCCGTCACGACACGGTCCCTGTCCAGCACCATGTCCGTGGCAGTGGTCGTGGCCCTGTCCAGCACCATGTCCGTGGCAGTGGTCGTGGCCCAGGATCTTCATCAGCACCAGGTTGATCCCGAGTCCACACATGGCGACAACAAACATAGTCTTGCCGTCGACCAGGTCCGTGCTGGCCTCGCCGCCCTGTCCCTGGTCGTACACGCGCTGGAGCGCAGTCCACAAGAGGCCGATCGCCAGCACCCACACGAGCAGCACACTCCCGAGCGCCCCAATCACTTCGGCGCGATGGTACCCGAACGGCATCGTCGCCGACGCAGGCAGTTGGCCCAACGACATGGCCACGAGCGAGACGAGGAAACTCGCCACGTCCGACAGCACGTGGGCCGCGTCCGAGAGGATCGCGAGGCTGTCCGTGTAGTAGCCCCCGGCGAGTTGCACGCACAGGAAGAGGAACGAGCAGAGACACGCGAGCTGGAGCTTCTTCCTGGCCGCAAGCGCCCCAGGACTACTACTGTTACTACTACGCGACGGCTGTGGTCGCCGTGGGGCAGCGGCTCGTGCTCGAGCACCACAACGTGGTCGTCCTGGCACTGCAGCGCTTTGTCGGGCGCGACGGTCGACAGCGGAGCGGCGGGCGTCGACATTGAGAGTGCGCGTTCGGTTCAACGGACGGACTGCACGTGACGGGCGACGTCTGTTGGCCACAGCGGAAAAGCGGAAATGCCGCGACGGTCGAGCGATGGACTAAATGGGACGGAAACGAGAGAGAGAGAGAGAGAGAGAGAGAGAGAGAGAGAGAAAGAGTGAGTAGCGGTTTGTTTGGTGGCGTGTCGAGGTGAAGCGTGTGGCGGTGTGAAAGGGTTTGAGCAGCGGGGCGGCGTGAGGCAGAGCGAGGCATTAGCTCTGACAGTGCATGCGATGAAGCAGGGGAGACGACGGCGATGCGAGTTGGGGGGCGGTGGTCCAAGTCAGAGGGGGGGGGACAGTGCTGGTGGTGGTGGACGGCTGTGAACGGATTCGACGGGGTATGATGTGCGACAGGGACCAACTGCTTGGCCGCCGCATGATCACGGATGAGAACGCACGAACAAAACGCATCTGGCGCAGTAGTAGTGCCACGTGCTGTTGGTCGACGACTGCCGTTGTGCTGTTGTTCGACGATACGGCCGTGTCACGTTGTGCCGCAAAGATTGTCGCGATGTGGTCGACAGTGGTGTGTCGGTCTGCTCTTCTGTGCAAGAAAGGGCACCGCACTGCATTACATACGCTCCTCAGCAGTCCACTTTACTCGCACGCAGACAGATGGATTATCGATCTGTCCAGCGGCGGGCGTTGAAGCATCAACTACTGTTTGACGGCAACGCGCTTTTACTTTCATCGGTCGGCTCGCTGGCCCGACGCAGTCCACACACGCTCGGCACCATCAGCCACGTTAGCGCGTCGGTTCGGCCGTTGGCCTGCGTCCTGTCGATGCCATGACACGAGACAGAACTAGGCATAACCCAGACGGGTGTCGACACTTCTTTCAGTGACGACGGCGTCTCAACGACGGCGCGTTTACGCCTTTCTGTGTGGAATGACCATTGGCAACCTCGTTTGTGTCGGAGCACGACTGCAAGGATCAAAGTTCGGACGAAGTGTACAATGGGATGAAGCGTATAAAGTGTGGCTGGTGTCTTCTTGATGGCATCTCGGGAGATGGCAGTTGTCAAAGATGGGGGACAAGCGTCTCATTGCCTCACTAAGTGGCGTTACTAACGAGACCGTTTTCTGGCTTTTGCTTTGCGCTATTCCGGATTGGGTCGTGCTCGAAGCTGTGCCCAAAAAAGGAGGTTGCCATATCCCGTGGAAAAGCCCGTGATCAAATTCGATCTTTATTTGTGTCAAACCCTGCTGCAACATAAGCCGTTTGCTTTTTGTCGTAGACCCATTGTTTACACCGCCTTTGTCGTGTGTGCAGCAAAAGCACCGTTGTACCGCGCAGCCAGTTCGTTACGCCACATTCACCTCGAACCTTCATAAGGTGCCAGTGACCGACGAATTCGATGCATAGTGAAAATGGCAGGGTACATACTTGCTACATTTCGATGTTGTTTTGAGATTTTGGTACGGTAAAATAAGAATATAAGCACCAGATATCACGAAAATAAAAAAAGATACACTAATGAAGCAAACTGTGGACGAATCCTAAAATCAACGTGATCGAGTCGCTTTGGATCCAGTCAAATCCATCAAACTGGGAACTTCAACAAGAACGTGGTCGGATGGACCGATTGATTGAGTGAGCCAACCAACAGTTCGATGTATCAACTGTGCCCCACTTGTTGCGATGCTCGCTCTCACATTTGCACTTCGCCTTTCCACCACACTTCAGCGCCACCTCCTGTACCAGCTTCGCCAATATGACCAAGGGTTTTTAAAGCAGTTTGATCGCTCAAGTGGAAGCTCAAGAAGAGCGAAAGCTGATCGACAAGCTCCGTGATATTGGTCTTGGCCAATACATTGAGCTCCCACAAATTGTGGTGATGGGAGATACTTCTAGTGGTATATCGTCCCTCCTGTCGGCGCTTTCAGGCGTCTCGGTTCCATCCAGTGATCAACTCACGACGAGGTGTCCTACTCAACTCGTCCTCTCTCGTGCCAGCACATTCAGCGAAACGGTGCGCCTCGTTCGGTTTCGCTCGAATGGTGGTACTGATGAGGAGGGTGAGACGGATACCGGGGAAGAGGGTGAAAAGCTCACTCATCTAGACGACGTCCCGTGTGCCATCACGAAGCTCACGCAGAAACTGATCGACGAAGGCCAATACATTAGTGACGATCAAACTGTGATTGAAATGAGTGGCTTCGACATGCCAAATCTCACTCTCACCGACTTGCCGGGATTTGTGCGCACTGTGGGCGATCACGAAGACCATAGCATCATTGCAAAGGTTCGGCAAATGATCAACCGTTACATGCAGCAAGAGCAAACGGTCATCATTGCTGTTGTGCCAGCTAATGTCGACATGAACAATTCTGAGATATTGCAAGCGGCTCAAGAGGCCGGCCCAAATGGAACGCGAACCATTGCCGTAGTGACCAAAGTGGATTTGGTTGACGCTGGTGCAGAGCTTGCAGTGCACGAGTTACTTCTGAACCGCGAGAAGAAAATGCACTTGGGCTACCACGCCGTGAAGCGCCGAAGCCAACGGGATCTGTCCAAGCGCATGAGCATTGAAAGAGGGCTGGCAGTCGAAAAGGTGTTTTTCGGCGAGCACGAGTATTGGCGCCGACTGCCGACGCACTTGTGGGGAGTGCCACGACTAAGTGAACGGTTGATGTCAATTCTGCAAGATAATATCCGTCGGTCGCTACCAAAGGTGGTGGAGGAGATCAGTTCGCGCATGACGGAGACGCAAAAGTCATTGGCGAAACTAGGCACGCCATTGGAAACACCCGTGGCGCAACTTCAGCAGTTTGGCAAGTGGGTTGATTCGTACTTGCGGTTGATTGAAGCAGCAATGAGCGGACGTTACGAAGCACTGCCGTCTTCTTCGACACCAATAGCTTCGGACCAGTTTTCGACTCCGGCTGATATGGATGTCCGTCTAAGAGCCGTTCTGCGTATAAAAGAAGCCAATTTTCAAGTGGCTATCAACAAGTCGAAAGACTGTGTGTTTGGCGACGCCGATGCGAAGAAAGACCACGAACAAGTGGCAGTTGGGGGTGCCGTGCAAATTGAGATCGACGGCCAGTATCGCAGTGGGAGAGTGAAAGGGATCAATGGAACGGACATTTGCTGCGAGGAGTATGACCAGCAGTGGAAGAGCAAGGACCATTGGCGCTTCGACGAACGGGCAATGCTGAAAAAGTTTATCCGTGAAAACCGCGGCGATGAGCTCCCGATTTTTACGTCGTACCAAGCCTTTTGCAGCTTGTTTCGCACGACCGTTGACAAGTGGGGACAACCGACGGATACACTGGTGAGTGCGTATCGGTTGCAGACAAAGTTGGTGTCGGACTTCGTCTCTGAGGAGGTTGGGGAAAATCTCGAGTTGTGCAGTTTCTCAGAAGTACTGCGTCCAATGTGATAGACCGAGTGGCTGCGAATGCGAGTATGGAGATGAGGATGGTGCTGAAGGGGAAGGTCGGCCGTACACGCAAAACAAGCGCTTGTATGCCGAATAGGACCAAGAACACCCGAAGGCTCTTCAAGAACAAGTGAGCACATCCGTTCAAACGGATGCGGATGGAAAAGTGAATCTCGCTGTGGTCATGAAGGCTGTGGAAGCAGCGTCAGCGTCTATGAAAGATCTGGAAGCGCTCGATATGCATGCGGCTTTGGAAGCGTACATCAAGGTGGCGGCCGCGTGCTTTGCAGACAAGGTTCCAATGCGTCTGAATGACTTGATTTGAAGAAGTTCGTGGGCGAAATGGCACAGGAGCTCAACGAGTTGACGGACGCGACACTGGCCAGACTGACGCAAGATCCAGAGCTCAAAGTGGCGGAACGTCATCAGCTCAAGGAGGAATTTGCCTGTCTGGCGAACGCAAAGAAGGCGATAGAGTGTTATGGTGACAGAAGTGGTGCTGACATGCAAAGATATGCCAATAAAAGTGGTACCCTAAATCGGAAATGGGGCAGAAATAGGTTGAAAGTTAGCAATAATTAATTCGGCGATTGAGCGTAATATGGCCCCAAATCCGAAATATGGTCTTTAAAGGTTGAACATTAGCAATCATCGATCCGGCCACTTCAATCAACATACGATTTGTAAAGATATAGTATCACACCGAGCACCGAATTGCTTTCGGAAACCATTTTCGAAGCGTGTCTGTTGCTTGATGAAATTCAGTGCAAGTACTACGCTGGTCATCTAGCTTTTACTTTTTGATCAGCAATCAGGCACGTTGTAATAATGGGTCATGATAGAATTATCTTATCTGCAAACTTTCTGCTGCTTTCCATGTAGAAAGTTTGTTCGAACATACTTGTGGGGTTCTTTGCATGTCTCGCTCCGGACACTGTCAAAATTGGTTAAGTACCGCCTTGTTGTGCCAAATTAATATACCACTCAGTTGCCCAAATTATTGTCATATCAGTCGATTGTATTTGAGCACACGAGAGAGGAGTATAGAATGCCTTGTTGACGGGTAAATGATCGCCTAGCATAGTCCGGTGCCAGATAATATGATAAGCAAGTTTAGGTCTAGTAACTTATGTGCATTATTTACAGAAAAAGAAGCTTTTAGTATAAGGTACGCAAATAATACACAGACAAAGAAGCCTGAACATTCAAGTCTCATCCACATGTTCGTTGAAGTGATCACGTTTTTTTCACTATTTGTATTTGACGTTACATACAATCGCATACGATATGTTGCATTTATACAACACTAGCATGGAAGTAATAGATATTGCATCACACTTCTACCAGATATATGAAGAACGTACTGGTATCTCGTGATTATAGGCAAAACACAGAGGAAGGGAAATAGGAAAAAATAAAGCCGTTATAAAGCGCCACAAAAAGATAAATTTCTTCAAAAATTTATAAAATCGATTCAGAATCGTCTACACAAAAGAGATGGAACTGCATTAAAAGTTGTATACGTAATAGAAAGCACGAAGAGTAAAATATAGAAAAGCACAATGGAAGCAGTAAAACAGTAGCTTTGTACGCTTGCTCAGGATCACATTGATCAAAATTTATTTTGCTTGTAACGATGGATACCGATATTGTAGCAATAAATGAAGTTGCCCATTAGATTATTTAACTTATTGTTTCACAAGTATTGCTCATTTAGCTGGAACAGGATAAACATGACGCGCAACTTCGATGACCACGAGGAACATCTACATATACAACCAGACCCAATAAAATCCTTCATTTTTGCGTTTAGAGCTAATGCGATGACAGGCAAGTACCAATTTATCGGGAAACATACAACTATGCTACTAGATATATAAGTCACACTTATTTTCGCAAGTTGTTGTCAATGTAAAGAATATAACATGATAAATTTCATTATGTGATGCACTTCACAAAATGAAGACGAAGGCATCCCCCTAAATTCTTACGCTAAAGCTGTGGCTTATATTACAATAGTATCGGTTTTGAATCCAACGACAGACGACGTTGTCATAAGTTGGCGAACGTGTTGGCGGCATGAAGTACTTGACACCACTACCCAGATGCATCTCCTTCGTTAACATTTATCAACCTTTGTCAGCATTAAGCAAATTTATCAGTCCATACACTTTGTGTGTGCGTTCTAACCTATTAAAGACCCCCTGTAATGATGCTACGTTGTCTCATCGTTCAGTAGTAGTAAACGACATGAAATATACAAAGCAACATATATATATAAGTTGTGTTAAACCGTAATATTGGATAAGGTGAAATAAAAGATGATGTGTATATCAAATCATCAACGCTGCGTTCGTTTCTACAAAACGCAGGAAAGCTTGTTATATATATATCCAATAACGGTTTACAGAACAAAAAGAAATGTTTTAGTCCTATGATATGATACTGGAAATGAGCAGGATAGAAGTGGACTAGAGATATCAAAATTCTATAAAAGTTTGTTTTCGAATCGGATGTTGTGCGTAAGTCGTACTCCCTATATATCATTATTTGATTGGTGCAGCTTTTGTCTCCTAGTCTTGCGATGCTGTGTGTATGTGATTACATGCTTCGTCAAACTAATTAACCAACGCAAATTATTCTTAGATACCATATGTGAAGTATAAGTAATTCCCCATCATTAATAAATTGCTACATTTGTAAAAACCGACTACGTGTTTTTGAGTGGGATAACAAAAGACGAATAGCTAAATTGAGGGTAATCCGTTATTTGACGATTTGAACAAATCTAACACCTCTGTACATATTCGCGTGGTAAATGATACACAAAACATTGTGTGGGTCCATAGGGTAGGATGCGAACACTCAAGTTATTTTATAGCATCACATATGCGCAAACAGTGCGTGTTCGAAACAAAAAACCGAGTATACAAGCATGTAAACCAGGAAAGCTAACAAAACATTTTCGAAATGATTCGACACACTGCCTTGATGTTTTCTATTATGTGAAGCTGGCCATAAATTGGAGCGGACCGTATTGCGTGCTTAAACAAGATCTATTCTTTATCCAAGATCGCAGTCAATGAATTTGTCGGCGAAATGCCGGCAGATGAATTTGAGTGGGACTTCGGGTGTCTATGTGCAAAGAATAGTATAACGTAGTACAATCGACAAGTAAAAAACGAGTCGTTGTAGCACAATGTTTTAATTATAAGACCAGAAGATGTCGATGTGACCCACACCACTAGAAATATTACATATGAGGTATATAGATTTACACGTGCCGCCCCATTTAGCACATCTACTGGAGGAAGTATTCGCGTTTTATTTTTGCTTCTACTATGCCTAAGTAAGTATCTTATTTCAATCATCTAGTAATTCGGCAATGCTGGCACCCTGCATGCTAAGCAAGCACTGTGTTTCTTAAATAATGATCAAAAGCTTACTTTTGCCATAGATCACGATATCCGTCGCAAAAGACTATTGTATTAAATATATATGGTCATCTTTATACCTCATAATTTTACTAACCTCGTGAGACGTTTTAATGCTATCACCCTATAAACCCTGAAAAAGTGACAGCAAAATTCGAGAAAGAGAATGAACCCACGAAAACGAACGCTCTACTACTGCGTCCGTTTTCGCATGCTGGTACTACATCTATAAAACTCCACCAATTGATAAAGATGGTACGGTTCGATAGAGACAGCGCCTACTTACATGAACCTAAAGCATGAAGTGAAAAGTATAATCAGATATTATCAGTTCTTTGCATCAAGCAGAAGATCTCGTGCTCCATCAGAATCATGTATTGCTGCCAACGCAATAATCAGTAGCACGACACGGACGTTTTATGTGTAATGTATACGCAAGTCACATCCCTTGTACGTTTTATAAAGGTTCGACATTCCTCCGGCAAGAATTGTGCAACAATGTTACCATCATAATGCTGATAGCAGCTTCGTAATCTTGCACGCTAATCGGATACCAGCCAATTCAATTGTGTTTTTATGATGATAATGGCTTAAGAATGTTTTGCTGAACTGTATAACCAGCCTTCGGCTGGCGTAAATCTTCATCATGAAAAAGATGAGGTTTTGTTCGCTAAACGGATATCAATAAGACTCACGCGTCGCGACATACGATACGAACAAAATTATAAAGTTTCCTCTAGATCTCTTAGCGTAAACGATGTTACTTAACCAAAGATTGCGTGATTCGATATAAGATTTGTATGGATCGCCGCTTACTTTGCCTCATATCAACTTGTTTTTACTTGGTCTAGTAAGTAGATGCTTATATATTTTTCACCGTTTAAGTCGATTTACGATTCATCGATCGATTGCTTTTATACCTTTGCGTCAAACATATTAGCTGTTGTGCTTCCACGCAGCCTAACTTTTGTGGTAAAATAGAAAGCTTAAAAAACCGAAAGACATAAAATATTATGGCATAGGGAGGTCGCAGGAAAGGTGTATACTTTCTGATTAGAACCGTGTTATGCTTGTACTATCAGATAGAAATTTAATCAATATCAAACAAAGTATTTATTATTGTCTCTTGTCTGTCACAGATCATAACAGTCGTGTTTTGCTTTATTCAATTGAATCGTTTTGCAAAATATGTCATGTAATATATAAGTTTTGGGTCTTAATAAGTGCTGGCTTGTATCACTAGTCACGAGATCGCGTATCATAATTAAGTTTCTGCATAGCGCCATCAACCGATTGACCATCTGATCATGCTTATCTGTGTCAACCATCCGCCAAATAATATAGCCTTTTGTTTATTTGTTAGTCATCAATTCGCGTTTCATCAAATTACCTAAAAGTAGCAGATGTATGGCAATAATTGCATCCAAATCACTTCGTATCTTTCATTGGACGCTTCGATCATGCCACCAACATACGGCTATCATCAAAATTAATCAACGAGCTCAAGTTTCTTTGCTAATCATGTATTGCGTAAACGATGGTGTAGAAATTATCGCAGGATTGGTAGAACTGATTTTCATATCACGTTTATCGATCCAACTTCATTTCAGAGAAATATATGCAAGATAATCTGCCTGTATTTTGTCATATCTCCCACCCTTTTCAATTTGTTTATATAATAATTAAAATGATAGCTATATCCCGCTAAATGACCGTGCCATAATGACAGCCTTGATATCGCAAGTTTTCATTGATACAGCGATGTAAAACAGGTAATCACCATAATTACGTCTACATCATTTTCACTGATCATCTTTCAATCAGTCATGCTACAATTTGTAGTACAACTTCATTGTAAGCCATTGTCCTTAATAATACTTTTCGCTTTATC